CACGAAGCCTTAATAACTGCGTGGCTTTGACCTTCCAATTCCTCCAACAGTTCGTCCACTTCACCTCCGTACTTGGAGGGTCCGCAACACGTGTATTGTATCCGTACCTTCGTAGTGATTTACTAACAACTTGGAACGTTCAACTGCCAGCGATAATATCGGTATAGGGTACGTACCACCACAGCGGCACAGCCTGCCGCCTACGGCCCCACACAAGCTGTTGGACAGCCAATCACATCAGCCATGACGTTGACTCCCTGAATCTGTCTGATGCCCGCAAACATGTATCAGCATGACGCCCCGTCGACGTTTCGAAACTGGCAAGATCCGAAATCTTCTAATATTCCGCCGTCCTTGCCAGTACCAGCACGAATATCCAGTCGACAATCTCACAATGGCTTCCAAATCCTTTTCACGTCGCGAGCATTCCGAGTGTGCCGGAGTTGGAGAGAGTTGGGGAGGGTTGGAGTGAGGCTTGGCTGACTTTCATGGACCCACACCCACTCATAGGGTACCTGACGCCAGATCATGTTGCAGCAGGCCGCGTCACCATCTCCATTGACATGATGGAATTTCCGTAACAGTCAATGCTAGGTACCACTGTCTTTTTCCTTTGGAGATTTCCCTATCTCCATTGTTCATGAATTGATGGAAAATCTAGGATAGATGATGAGTCGTAGAGTCAACACCAATTTCATGTTATCCGTGCATACACTGGATTTCGACAGAGAAGGGTCCATATGTACGGAGGTTTTCGTATGGGCAACTTTTGGAATTTAGAGGCCAAGAGGCTATTGCCGATCCCGCCTCCGGGGTGAGTTTCGACAGACGCGGCTCTCACAGCCAAGGATTCCTGCCAGATGCACATGCCCGTTTCCAGTTCGATTTCCACTCGTTCGACCCTTCCCACATTCACTCCACTTTGGGCCAAGCCGGCCTTTTGCGCTTTTTGGTCTCGTCACTGCTGCGTCTGCGTGTGCTTTCCTTTCATTGTCTGTCCATAATATACTCCGCGCGTCGCCACCTGGGTCTCCGAGGCTGGCCCTTCTCCGGCCTTGGCTGACCTCTTCGACGAGCCTGCTGCTTTTGGTGGCGGAAAGCCTTCATTGGACGCCCAAAACAGCGCCTCAACCGGAAGCGCCTCCCGCACTACTCGGACCGAACGACGTATAAACCCCAAGTCTCTCTATTACTTCCCGCTTGTTCCATGGATTAGATTTGGCTTGTGCATCCGGTCGTGTTGCTTTACGCTCGCTTTTGAAGACAGCTTCAATACTCCGCCGGGCCAATTGACCCGGTCCGTTCAAGACATGAAGACGGCCGCTTTGTTCGCCGTCACGGCCTCGCTCGTTCAGACGGTAAAAGGGATAGCGCTGCCGCAAAGAGACGACGGATTGAAGGTGGTTAGCCTAGATACCGAGAGGCGGGCTCCCCGGAACCCGGTGCATAGAGATAAGCTCAGGAAACGAGACACTGTCACGGTAGGCCTGGACAATGAGGTATGTGTTCCATCGACCGGGTCATGGCCATGCCCCGACACACTCAGCCTGACAACGTTCAGGAAACGCTCTACTTTATCAACGCCACCATTGGCACGCCCGGACGGTCTGTGAGGTTACACCTGGATACGGGATCGAGCGACCTGTGGGTGAATACACCAAGCTCGGGGTTATGTCAGTCGTCGAACCAGCCGTGTCAGTTTGCAGGCACATACACGGCAAACCAGTCTTCGACGTACCAGTACATTGGCAGCTATTTCAACATTTCCTATGTCGACGGTTCGGGCGCGAGTGGCGATTATGTGTCGGACACGGTGACTGTGGGAGGCGCAACGTTGAAGAGGTTACAGTTCGGCGTCGGGTACGTGAGCACCAACTCGCAGGGCATCCTCGGCATCGGGTACCCTCTCAACGAGGTCCAAGTTGGCCGCGCTGGGCTGAGGCCCTACCCCAATTTGCCGGCGCAGATGGTGGCCGAGGGCCTTATCCAGTCGAACGCTTACAGCCTGTGGCTGAATGATCTCGACTCGAACCGGGGCAGCATCCTGTTTGGTGGCGTCGATGCCGAGAAGTATGTCGGCACTCTGGAATCGGTGCCGATCGAGTCAGAATCGGGCGTGTATGCCGAGTTCCTCATCACCCTCACCAAGCTCACGCTCGGCGACCAGACAATAGGCAGTGACCTCGCACTAGCCGTCCTGCTCGACACGGGCTCGTCGCTGACCTACCTGCCCGACGCGCTGGTCTCGGAGATTTACAACCAGGTCGGCGCCGAGTTCGACGACCAGCAAAACACGGCCTACGTGCCCTGCGCCCTAGCCCAGCAACAGGCCACGCTAAACTTTACATTTTCCTCCCCGACGATTGCCGTCGAAATGAACGAGCTGGTCATCGACCTGGTCACGTCGAGCGGGCGGCGCCCGACCTTCTCCAACGGCGTAGAAGCCTGTCTGTTTGGCATCGCCCCGGCCGGCGCCGGGACCAACGTGCTGGGCGACACCTTTTTGCGGTCGGCCTATGTCGTCTACGACCTGGAAAATAACAGGATAGCTCTGGCCCGGACGAACTTCAACACGACGGCGTCGAGGGTGGTGGAGATTGGTAAGGGGGAGGGTTCGATCCCAGGTGCGACGGCGGTTGCGAACCCGGTGAGGGCTACCCAGGGGCTGAGTGGGCTCAACGCGTCAGATCTGTTGTCCGGGGGCGTGAGTTTGAAATCCGGGCTGGGGTTGTCGTTTGTCGCGATGATGGCGGCGACGGCAGGGTTTGTGCTCATGTTTTAGATGAAGTGGGAGGTCACGGCATCTTCTCGTTTATTGGATTGGAGCATTACACCCATTTTTGCATTTGGACGGCGTTTTGGGGATCAGAGGGCCTTTGGGACCATTGTAGGGCGTTCTGGACCGTGTTTCAAGGGAGTGCCTCACTTGGGGACTGAACAGCTTGGGTCGGCTGCATGTTGGGGCTGATATATCCGGCCTACTTTCTGTTGGCCATTATATGTCGTGGAGAGCTCATTGATGGATTATTACATGTGTAGAAAGGCGCGCGCGATACGTGGCCAGTTGATTGGCACGGCAGAGAAAACAACATGATCTCAACGGGTAAATTCCCGTTGCCTTAACATCCAGGTTATGTACGCCGTATTGTGTTATGAATAAGTCTGCCGGCTTGGCCTCTCACATTTGGCTTTCAATTTCGCTCGCGTGAACTTGCTACGGGTCAATGATGATATACCCAGAGCAAAAGGCGGCAGGATACACGAAGAGTCGTTACAATGTGGTGCACATACATACATGTAAAGTTAGGTGCTCGAATCTTCTATTATCTCCAACACTACCTATGAGTGTTACATGGCGAGCGGCGTATACTGTATTCTCCTTCCCAACAAAGCAGTCCCTGCAAGCCAAGTTGACATCACAATAGTGTATTTGCTGTGGATACTGCAACCTCTTTCAATCTGATCCGGACGCAGACTGTCGTGACTCGTGGAGTTCCACTCTGTTGTGGTGTTTAGAACCAACTCCATGGACTAGAATGGACTTAATGGCCGCTTATCTCCGGACTGTCTTCTCATACGGAACTTAGATTTGTGTGTGTATACGGGTATATATTTCCACTTAGATGTGGTTAGACCTTTTGGTGTTTGTGATAACCAGAAGTCAGACGTCTACCTAACCTTGTCTCCTAGCACAAACCGTCCTCTGTTCTTCTGCACTAAAACTAAATAAGCAAGGACAACAATATGGCCTTTCCATACAAAAAGGTCCTCCTAATCGGAGCCACCAGCGGCATCGGCCTGGAGCTGGCCGAGCAGCTCGTCCCTCAAGGCGTGCATGTCATCGCCGTCGGCCGGCGCCAAGACCGTCTGGACTCATTTGTCGCAAAAGCTGGTGAAGCAAAGGCTTCGGGGGTGGCCCTGGACATTGCCGCCATTGACAAGATTCCCGCCTTTGCCAAGGGGTAAGTACTACCTAGTAAATATTGATTAGCACCCCAACCCCCTGCCCCTTTTCCATAGCTCGCGCGCCCAACAATGATTTGACATTTATTTGGCTGACAAAAAGAGTAAAGCATCATCGACGCCCACCCAGACCTGGACTGCGTGTTCCTGAACGCGGGAGTCCAGTATGTGATGGACTTTAGCAAGCCGCAGACGGTGGACCTGGCCAAGATCCAGCACGAGATGACGGTCAACTACATCAGCATGGTCGCCCTGACGCACGCCTTTGTGCCCTTCTTCCAGGAGAAGGCCGCGAGGGGCGACAAGGTGGCTTTCATCTAGTACGTTTTAAACCGGTCAAAGGCGTCTGAGCGAACTTTTTGTTCGGGGCTGTAGTACTAATGTGATGTATATATATATAGCACAACGACGGCTCTCATGTCCCTCCCCTATCCGATGGTGCTGAACTACTCAGCATCCAAGGCGGCGTTGCATGCCTTTATTATCAGCATCCGCGAGCAATTCAAGCACGCCAGGCAGCCGATTGGCGTGCTGGAATTGGTGACGCCACTTGTACAGAGTGAGTATTTATTTCATTTAAGCCTTCAGCACCTGGATTCACGCTAATCACTTGGATACAGCCGAGCTACACAACGGCCAGCCCGGCTGGGGCCCCGACTTCAACCCTGGGATGCCCGTGGTGGATTTTGTCAAGGCATCGCTGGCCGGCTTTGCCGCGGGGGACGAGACGGTGGCGGTTGGGCAAGCAAAGGCCATCTTCGACGAATTCGAGGCCGAAAAGGGCCGCCGTGTCGGGCCTGCGTGGGCGGCCATCCGCAAGGCCATGGGCAAAGCTCACACCTTTGACTGATCTTTGATGTATGTACATACATATGGAGTCCCGTCCAAGTGATATGTCATATGGCCAGTGCAAACGGAATGAACTCTTGCAATCTTGCTGGGTATCAGTTTGGGGAAAGAGCAGTTGCCGATGACTACTGGGCGAGATCTGCATCTGAGTCCCTTAGTCACCGTTGAACGGTGCTGTGAGCGTCAGAGATACTTCACAAAGATTGACAGATACAGTTGCTGAGTTGATGCTCGCGAATCGCTACATGATCCGCTTGAGCTCTGTGATGCTGTACTGGCAAGGGCCATTGCACGCCAAGAAAGCTGATGAATCTGATTCATCATTCTCGGATTGCCTGCCTTGGCGCAGCCCCACCGCAACTGCCAACGTCCCCCACGCCCCCCGGTCTAGGCTATTTTTGTTCCCACGTGTGTTCGGATCATAAATACCGGGCCTGGACCCCGCAATCAACGATGATCTCGATGAGGAGCCTATTTCCCATACACCACCGAAACCACTTTCATCACGAAAATGGCCCTTGTCAAAACCGCTTTGTCGACCAACAACTCGACGCTGCTGGATACAGGCGTCGAGTTTCCCAAAGGCCCCGAAGACACCGTCTCTGCCCTCCGCTGGTCGCCCGCGTTCAATCACGTGGCGGCCGCGTGCTGGGACGGCCATGTCTACATCTACGATGTCACCCATTCGACGACTATCGGGGGCATCAAGGGCATCCGTTCTATAACGGCCAATGCCGCCTTTCTCGACTGCGACTTTAGCAAGGTAAGTCCGATGTGAACTCTAACCCCACAGCTCCCGGGGACGGAAGGACGATGGAGGAAATATAAAAAACAAATACGAACGGTTCCAATAGGTGAGTTTCCTCCGCCTGACTTCCTGTCTGCGACCAATCTACTGACTCAGTGATCGCAGGACGGAACCCTAGCCGCCGCCGGCGCCACAGACAACAAAATCCACGTAATAGACCTCGCCTCAGGCAACACCATGGCCTTGGCAGGTCACGGGGCGCCCGTCCGTGCAGTGCGCTTCGTCGACATCCCCCGCGCCGGCACCCACGCGCCATTGCTCGTCTCGGGCTCGTGGGACCGGACGCTGTGTTACTGGGACCTGCGCCAACCCCAGCCCATCGGGCGCATCTCGCTCAGCGAGCGCGTCTATGCGATGGACGCCTCCGGCCCGCTGCTCGCCGCCGCCACCCCGGACCGCCAGATCCATCTCGTCCATCTCGATGGCGGGAACCCGCTGGCCGTCTCCAAAAAACTCCAGTCCCAGCTCGTGCACCAGCCATCGTGCATCGCTGTTTCTGCTGACGGCTCACATTGGGCCGCCGGCAGCATCGAGGGACGGGTTGACACCCGGGCCGTTGATGAGAAGGAGGGCCAGTAAGTTGGCGCTTTTATTTGCTCTCCCAATGAGCTCACCACAACTAACAATTTACACACAGAAAGTTCAACTTCACCTTCAGATGCCACCACCGCCCTTCCTCAACGTCGCCCAAGTCAGTCACCGAGATCTACGCCGTCAACGCCCTCTGCTTCTCCCCGCGCCGCAGGGATGTGCTCGCCTCTGCCGGCTCCGACGGGACCTTATTCATCTGGGACCTTGGCCGCCACCAGCGTCTAAAGTCCCTGCCCGCTCTCGACGGCGCAATCACGGCTATGGCGTTCAGCAGCAGCACCAGCAACACCAGCAATACCAACAACAACCGCGACAAGCTTGTGTATGCCGTCGGCTACGACTGGGCGAAGGGGTACAGAGGTAATACGGCCACGTACCCGAGGAGGATTGTGCTTTGTGATGTTGGAGATCTTGGTTCCGGGAAGAAATGAAAGGGGAAGTGGTTCTTAAGGAGAGGGTGTGTCATGCCATGTCAGGGAGGATGGTGGATATGCTGTGGGGGGGATGGGGGAGCATAAATTGCTTCTGCTTGGGGAATGAAATGGGATGGAAAGACATGGCGATGATGATATTCGGGGCTTTGTTCACACGAGCCTGGGAAGTATCACTTCTGGAAGCGGAACAGACTTGGAAGATTGAAGGAATATTTCCTATTCGTTGATTTGCTGTCGTTGATTGCAAGGGCCAAGGGAACGGGATACAGATTGGCAGGGCATTTGGAGGGACGATGTGAGCTTGGACTCACGGGCCAGATGGTGCGAGATTGATGATATTTGGTGGACCGCTGAGGAGCATTTTGACAGTTGTGGGATGGAATATCGCGCAAATCCTTCAGCCATTACTCTTCCGAGCCAGCATGCGCTCGCAGGTGGTCGGTTGTAGACACATAGATTCGGAAAGCAGCAAATACATGGCATGACACGCCCCAAGCATTCATCCCCCTGTGGTGACTCTGAGAAGAGTGCGTGCTCCGTCGCGTGGTACACATCTTCAGTCAACAGGCTATTAGCAGCCATCTCTCGGACACAACCTGGCATTAAGATGCTTCATTGCCAAACCGTATCACCGTCATCGTGTCAATGTTAATGTCAACGGATAAAGCCCCTTTCTAAAACAGGGGCCATTTTGTCTCGTCTTGTTTAGTGACAATAATACCACGAACCAGATCCAACCCCGTCGAAGGCATAGTCTACCCACAGAACCATCCAGCATACATCCCTACTGCCTAGATATATATAGTAGCCCGGGTTGTCCCCTCCCATTGCAAGATATCCTGATCATCCCAAACTCCATCCACCCCATTTGAAAGGCCAAATCCATCCCAAAGTCCATAAACTCAACAGCCCATTTCCCCTGACCAGACAAACAAATGCATAGCAGCACCGTTGCCGTGTTCACACCCAGGACAAAAGATCCTCAAAAACTCTAGCCAAAAAGATGTGTGTGGCTTGCACCAACCATACTGGACCGCAGTGCAGTAGAATCAAAACCTATCTATGACTACTGACTTCCCCTTTACCGACCCTACCATAACATATCATACCATATCATACCGTAGAATACCATACCGCATTTACCGTGCCCATCCATACCTTACCTACCATACGCCTAATCCCATGCCCAAAGCCCCAGCAAAGCCCAGCACCTATCCCACTCCTCAAGCCACACACACATGGAGGGAGGGAGGGAGAGGAGTAGGTAGGGAAGGCGGAGGGACCAACTAGAGAGAGGGAGAGAGAGCAAAAGGAACCGGGTAGCGTGCACCTCTATGCCAGGTAACCAGCAACAGAAAACATGCACGAACTGAGAAGAGAGAAGAAGACGGCAGCGGTATTAGAGATGTATCAATATCATAAGACTTTAATGCAATGTACCCCATTCCGTATTCCTTATTCCGTTCCGTTATTCCCCCTGCCTTGCCTAACCCGCCCCTGCGCCCAAACCACCCTTCCCTTTCACTCCGTTAAGCTTTAAGTACGCTCCCGTCATCGTCAAGTCATTCATTCCCCGAAGCCCCAACAAACCCCCCAAATCGAAAGCCAGGCACATACAGAGATCCCAGCATGTAGCTACGGGCGCTGAAGGGGACTAATTAAGGTGGCTAAGATAAAATAAGAGCAAGAAAAATACCCTTGTGAGGACCATGGGCCCCTGTCCGCTAATAACACAACCGCTCGGGGCTCACGACCCAGCGCCAGAAGTGGCAATTGGCAAGCGTGGATTAATAATGACGAGAATGAAGCAAGCCGTCTTGTAAAACACCCAGTCCACGCTTTAGATGATCGGGGAAAAAAGAACAAGAAAAAGGAGCCCTTTTCCACTAACTGCAATATCCCTAGCTGAGTGGTCATGTAGGAGCTGGCGGTCCCTCTCTTTCACCGCTCTTACCATTCGGCGATGATGGGCCGGCAGAAGACGGCGGCGTGTGATTTTGCGGTGAGCTATTGTCCCCAGCACCGTTCGCATTGCCATTGGAGTTGCTGTCGGCGTCGGCGTCGGCATTAGCATTATTATTGGCATCCACCGGGGCCGCCATTGCAGCAACCAGGCGATCGATGGCGGTGTTCTTCCCGACAGCGGTGGCTTTGAAGATGGCAACTTGCGCCTTCATCTGTTCGAGGAGGTCCTCTCTGTCCTGACCTTGAAGCGTGTTGAGGAGCGTTTCTTTTAGGACAATCAGCAAAAACCGTAGCTACCCCAGAATGAGAGACGGGCGGGACTTACGCATCACGTAATTGCCATATTGGTCCTTCATCACCTGGAGCAGCGGGCTGTTGCCATCGTTTCCGGGGGCTTTGACGATCTGGTCTCTGATGGCCCGTCGTTCCTCGGTCGTGCCCTTTCGGATGCACTTCTCAACCACGTTCGATGCGTGTTTGTTCTTCGCGTAGGTCAGGGCCATCGGGGTTACGGTGCTGATTATCCTTGCCCGGTCTTCAGGCTTCCCTTTGTCCAGAACTTTTTGGATCACGTAGTTGCCGTACTGATCCGACAGAAGACTGTGCGCTGAGGCGTGCAACTCCTTCATTATGGCGGCGATGTCAGCCTCGTTTCCCCGCATGAGTGCCTTCTGAACGACGCGACAGCCGTGCACGTGCGCAGAGAGCTCGCCAACGCGGCCCTTGAAACTATCCATGATGAAGTCAATATGTTGTCGAGGAACCAAGTCCATCACCATAGAAACGACGTGGTTCCCGTGCTCGTCCTTGATGACGCTCAAAATATCCGGCTCCAACTCCTTGGCGAGTTCGACTTGTTCTTCAACAAGCACATGCTTCAAAGCCTAGAATCTGTCAGTTTGCGCCGAGCCAGACCTACAGCTGGGTCGGTCATTTACCTTCTGGACTACCCGGCAGCCATACTTCTGCATCGACAGGTCGACAATCTTCCCTTTCATTGCTCGGAAGAGAATTCTCTTCTGCACTAAATCGCCGTGCTCAAAGAATTTCTGAATCACATAGTTGCCAAACACGTCCTGCATCAACTGGACAGCGTTTGGTTCGATCTCTCGGAAAACCATGTTCTTTTCATCACTGTTGGCCGTCTCTAGTTTTGTCTGGATGAACCGGGAGCCATGCTGGTCTCCACAGAACTCGATGACGTGCTCGTAGAGATCCTGGATCTTCCCTGGTGAGTCTTGGGCCGCTCGGAATGGGTAGCTCAGCGGCAGACTCCTTACCTTGAGTTCGTAGCGTTTATCTGCTTTTGCAGCTGATCTGAATTCTTCCAAAAGCAAGCTTCTAATACCCGTCCCTGGATCCTGCCCTCTGCCACGTTGCATTGGCAATCCAGCAGCGGCGGCCGGGTAAGCTGGCAGAGGCATGTCAAACCCGGGTATGGGGACATGCCTCAAGCCGCTGTACGGATCGTATAGAGGATAAGGTAGGTACCCCTGGCTGTAGTAAGGGTGTTGCGGTGGATAGAACCCTGCTTGCTGCTGCTGCAAGATCTGCGGACCTAGCCCTCGCCGATCGATATCTGCGCCTGACCTGTGGTCGCGGGACGCCGGTCTTGACCATGCTTCGCTATTCGACTGAGGGGCCGCGAAACCCCTGGGGCTACTCAGTCCGGCACCGGGGCGGTATGTGCTCCCAGCCGAGGAGCTGCGGTCCAGGGCAGCGGATCCGCGTCTCTCGAATGCCGACCCATTTCCGTACCCCTCTCTGGCAAGGCCATTTGGATAGGCCTGGCTGTTTTCCCACGGCTGCGACACGGGATTGAACTGAAAGGACTGGGCCCCGTTGCGGTAGTGGGCACCATTGAGATCACTATCCATCGTCATCCTTCCTATACGCTCTGAGATTTCAGCTTCGTCAGTCCGATGTGTGCCAGCTTGATCGTAGGTCTTGGGGTTGAGCGCGTTGAATGAGAGGCCAGAGGTCAGAGATGGTCTTTGGGAGTGCATCGAATTCGCCCCGGAAGCACCGTAGCCGAAGGTAGGCAGTTCGGACTCGGGCTGGCTCGTCGGGGGGAGACCGGAATCCCGTGATGGCCCGCCACCCACTCCATTGAAGTACGTCGGCTCTTGTCCGGCCCGCTGGGACCCCGAAAATTGGCCTAATCTCTGCTCGGGCTCAAGGCTCAACGAGCCAAAAATGCCGGCGGTCTCCTTCTCGTCTACTAAGCTCGACAACCTCGAGGTATGCCTGTGCGGGCCGGTAGAGGGGTCCAATGCAGTAGCCGGCCTCGACCCAACTGGTGCCCTCTGGGCGAGGGTGGATGCAGCAGGGTAGTACGATTTACCGTTCATACCATTCAGATCAAGACCCGGTGCGTCGGACCGAGTTCTAACCGGTGATGTGTTTCCAGGCGGAGCGCGGGCTTGTGTGCTGTCTGTCGAGTTCCACCGTCCTGGCCGACTCGCCCAGGGATCTGCTTCGGATGTGGCAGCAAGGGCACCGGAACCGGAAGGACCGCTAGGAAACGAATCGGTGATGTCTTTCAGCCCATCAGCCTTCCGCTCTTCGTTGTGGCGATTAAACACCTTTCGTGCAGACGAACCTCTAAGCCCAACCGAGTCTCTGTTCCTAGGAAACCCTCCGATACTGTTGTTGCTCCATATCCCGTTTGCTTGCCAGCCCGTACTGGTGAAGCCGTTTGTGCGGGTCTGCTGCTGCTGCTCGTTTCCGTTCGCCATGCTGGCGCTGGAGAGGTTGGGAAATCGGTTCGACCGAGACTAATTTGCGGATTGAAAGGTCAGCTGGGGATGGCAAGGAGAGCACACTGTCTGCGGACGAGATTGAGAAGGTTTGGCGTATTGCGAGGGGAATGGTGTGCACCGGGCAGGCTCCAGCGGTGCAACCCGAAGCTGCCAATGCCAGCAGGCTGGCTAACAAGACGATGGATTGCTGAGGGAAGTCACGACTCACCGTGCCCGTCATGGCGCAATGCGAAGTCTGCGTATGCACTGGTGTAAATTATGTATGGGATGATGGACTAACAAGCGTTGAACGCTTCGAGGGTTTGTAGCAGCAGCGGGCAAGCAAGACTGTCCGCACGAATAGACGAAGGTAGTTAATGTGAGTAAGTAGTGTTGGAGGTTAACGGTACTTCCGACGAACGAGAACCGTCGCTGCGGGGACTCGTCGAGCGCTACACCCGACTTTGCGCTGCCGCGTGGGAAGGGGGGAAAAAGGGCAAAAGAATGGATTGGTGTTTGTCCTTGGAGCGGTTCGGTAGTATATGCCTGGGTTTCGGGACGAGACTTGGCGGGAGGTTTATGGAGAGGCTGCAAGAGAGTCGAAGCGAGGTCAGAGCAAACAAAGGTAGGGGACCGGACGGTTGGGAAGCAGTGGGGAGGAGGACTCGGTAAGGCTGATGCGTCCCACAGCACTGCGAAACTAAAGTTTGAGCGGAGGGTGGTGGTGGGGAGTTGCTCAACTGCAAGACAAGGTTAGCGTAGAAGGTTAGATGGAGGACAGGGGTGCAAGGAATGCTGAGACCAGCCTAGAAAGGGTCCCCACCGTCCCAGCAAACAGCCCCAAAAAAGAAGATTTTTTGTGGAGATGAACCAACCTTCAGGGAAGGGCAGGAGGGCGGTGACGGGAAATCGGCGAAATCGGATTGTGCACGGTAACGTATACTATGTATGGACAGCGACAGGGGGGCAGGGGGGAAGGGGAAGGGGGGGAGGGGGCCAAGCGTGGCCTTTGAGATCGCTAGCTCCCCGTCTGCGATGCACCGAATCAGCAACTTCGGACGATGGTCGATTCGATAAGCATCACTGCGGGAAGACCTTTTGTTGTTAATGCTGGCGGAATTTGCTATGGTTTAAATACCTATGCAGAAGGAAAAGGCCGCAAAAAGCTCACGTGATGGATGAGATGGCACGGCGAGAAACTTAGGTGAACTGTGCTCGAGCCGACTGTTTCACGCTACACTTGATGTTGTCGCCGTCGGTGGTCGATGGTTTGGGATCTACTCGGCTGTGTTGATAATTTGTGGGGTTTTCGTAGGGTCGCCCCCACCAACGAAGTAAGAACCACCGCGCGAAAGAAAGCTGGTGACACACGACAGGAGCGACAGTCGCAACAGTGCAACGCTGCAACAACCGGGTGCGCTGCGGCGGGGAGAAAGGACCTGGGGGCTGTATGTACGTGTACTTTTCTGCTCCCATTCAACGCCGTCCAAGCTTCCAGGCTCCAAATTCCCAACAACACATTGTATGAGGTACGAATACCGCAACTGGAACTATGTACCCTCGTACCGCTGTGGATATATCTACCCAAAATTTCGTAGTCTCGTTGGAGTACGCCGTGTGGCTGCGTAGCCACTGTTTCTCGACTGCTCGACTGCACACCTGGACAACCCCAGTTGTGTGTTGGATTTGTCCTGTGTGATGTTCAAGGTTGTTGGTCTTCCGGCCGAGATTCCGGCAAATCGATTGGCGGTCCGATGCTGAGGTGCTTCCAGGCCAATGGATCTACCTAAGCTGGATTTGCTTGTCCAGAAGGAGAGATCATAGGTCGCCGCAACGCGCTACGAGGACAACCTGCTGGGCGAAGGGATCTCGTTGCCGTCGTCGTCGTTAACTCGAATATCGCCAGCCTCGTGATCGAACCGTTAAGAAGAGCAGCGAACAACAAGAGGAAGAATTTGTAACCAGCAGTGAAAAGTCAATGAATATACATGTGTATGCACAAATATGCATGAGTAGGTACACGCCGTCTTCTCGTCACTCCTGGCAAGGGGCACAAAAGTGCAACTCCCTTAGGTACTCTCTTAGGCTCAACGGTGCCACCAGCTACAATATATAAGGGGCTGCCAGAGGGAAGCGGGGGCAACCACGGGTCAAGAAGGCACAAAACAGCAGGCATCACATCTATAATACGAATAATACAAGCACTCCGTTGCCGTTTCGGTGCATGGTACCTATGCAGCGACACAGAAAACTATGAGCGGGAATATCCGGCCTGCGTCAATCTTCAATAATGGTTAGAAAACCGCAGATCTGGAGTTGGATAACGCAATATGAGTGGATGCTCCATAGCTACCTGTCGGTCAGCCAGACCACTGGTAGGGGGCACGTCTTGCGGGCGGTCGAGGCCCTACACATAATTGTATGTACGGATGTGGGGGGTGTTCACAGTAAACATCAGGCGCGGCAAGGGATGTCTCTGTCGGTCTGTCTTGTCAAGCTCAGACGAGGGAATGCTCTTTATCTCCGCTGCTATAACGGGCCAAGAGGTTCGAACGACATCTGCGCAAATGTCCGGTAACACGCCCTAGATGATCGATTTTGATGAGCCGTTCAGGAGCTGAATTCGGGGTAAAATCGGCCGTCTTCTGCATGGAGACAACCAGGGCTGCCTGAAGGGTACGTTATGTATCTTGCGACTTCGAGCGATCTGGAGGCCGTGAGTTCAGCTGATATACTCCTCATTATGCCCGTCTCTTTCTCTCGATGCAACCTATGCATGACAAGACCTGTAAAAATACACTCGAGACTAAAGACTTCCGGGATGCTTTCCTGCTGAGGGCTTCGAGGTAAGTGCTCGATATACTTACTGGCTTCGGGTCCTTGTGAGTCGCTGTATGACCCATCGAAACTAGGCTGGCCAGTCCGTTCAGTAGCCCTCGCTTGAGCCTCAGAACGTTGCCAAGGACCAGGAACGGTCGTTTGGCCCGGTTTGCGGCCTATTGTTTCAAAAGATGGAAACAAAGTGGGACAATCGGCATAGTGCAGGAAGAGCAGAGCAGTTACCATGCACACCATCCCGTGCTTCCCGGCTGCGGCGGAACCTGTAGGCCGTGGACCACTTACCTTGGCGTTAGGAGACTGCTTGTTCGTGCAGGGTCGTACATGCGTACAGTACTGTACTTGTACGGCCTCGTTGACACACTCCGACCATAATTCTAGGTAGCCTTGAACCTGCCGTTATTCCATGATGGCTGGCTGTGCTAATAACCAACACAGGACTCGTCTCGTCTCGATCGGTTTCGACCCCGCCAGATGCCGGCGCGGCTACCTGACTCATGCGTCTCCGGCTCTCCCGGCGGCTCTACGGCCGAGGCTACCTCCGCTCATAAATGCCGAGTGATTGATGCCTCTTTGCCGCTCAAGACCGCATTGTAGGAAGCCAAGTCTGCCAGATACACAGATCTGAAAGCTGCATAGCAATGATAGCATGCTCCTTGGCTTAGCCAGCAGAATCCCGTCAACCTAAGCGCTGTAAAACGACCTGAAATGGCAGGAAGCATGCGCATGAGCGCTTCAACTGACACAGGTATGTACTACTGGCGTAGATGAGACAGTCTAATGCCGTGCTTTGGACTTTATATGTCTGTCGATGACCAGCACTTGCCCGTTACCGGACAGCACAAGAGCGTGGACTTGCCGATGGTCGTGTAGGGTAATGCCTCCATCATCTTGGTGGTAAAGGTCATACAGGGCTGGGATCGGTTGAGAGCCGGTGTAATAAGTTATAAACGACAAAGGTAGCATCAGAATCTTGCCGTGCCCAACTTGACCTGCGCCTCTCTTGTCAGCGTTGTCCGGTTTTCGTCTTCTCGCTCCAGGTCATGATGCGCTATTCTGGTGGATTGGGTGGCTGGATTGTGCGATGGTAGCATCCTGCTTGCTGGCCACGGCCCTGGTTACTGTCTGCAACGCATCCACAGCAGCTCAGTGAACTACATGGAGGCAACCGTCTTGTCCGTCGTACGAAGTAGTCGCGGAAGAGATAGTGGTCTCGATTCAACCTTCTGAGCATCCAAAGGGCAGAACATCCTGTCCGCTGTTGTCCTCACGCTGCGCATCCTCAGATGACGGTCCAGCAGGATTTAACATGTGCCGCAGAGAAAGGAGGGAGCGCCCTTCCACACCAGACTCCGGAGAACCTCAGTGACTCTATTAGCAGGTGTTTGCTCTCCTGACAGTTGCCGCCGATGGCAGTTTAGTGCAGCTGTGAGGGACGCCTGTAGATGAAACTGTTGGGTTTGACTGGAGGAGGAAACCTTTCGATTGCGTGACGAGCTGCCAATATATAAGCTCGGCGGCTAACGGTGAGATGTGAGATCACGAGAAAACTCGCAGTTAGCGCCGCTGCCGCATGTCGCCGGTAGCTGATGGGTACTCCGTATAACGTAGTAAATCAACGTCGCATGATATGCGTGGAATGATTTCTGGAGGATTAGCAAGTGGCGGTTCTGTCGTGTTTCCTTGAAAGACCACCTCAAGTCCTCAACGACACTGAACCCTCTTTGTGCCCTGCGGTCTAGGCCGACCCTGCCGAGATCCCCGCAGCTGTTGCCTGTGTGAAGTGCAGCCAGAATCGAGGCACAGCTGCGAGCAGGGGACGGCCAAACGTTAGCGGCTCCCAAATTGGGCCCCGCTTACGTGCTGGTCAGAAAGGGTTCTGATTGGCTAGTAGTGGAATTAGGCGGGGCAGTTCATCCCAATTCAGCAAGCTCACTGGCTAGCGTAGCATCTCCCCTGAAGCAGGCCGCAGGATTACTTGTGCAAGGAAACGCCCAACTCTGCTCTCCTTCACCTCCTCTCTTTTTCCTCCCTCTACATCGGCGTCACGGCTCAAGGGATTGTTCTGTCATTCTTTCTGTCACTCATTTCAAGTTTCCCGCTGGGGATCTCCATGGTGTCGACTTCACTCTTTTAGTCGATATCCGTCCTGTCTTTTGTCGATCCGGCTGCCGTGACACGCGAAATTCTACACCGTACATTACGTCTTCGGAGCGGCCCTTGCGTACGTCTAATCTCTTCTCGATCGCTCTGCGCCGTTCAGAGCCCGGGCAATGCAAAGATGGCCGGACCATGAAGCTGACAACACTACTGATTTCTAGACTCATCTGTCCATACACTGTAATTTGCACTGCATCAATCGCAGTTCAGCACGTTTATATTTATCCCATCTTCAACCATCATGGACTCAATCACACGGCTCGTCTCTCGGGGCACCGAACAGGATGGGGATAATAGCTCAACCGTCAACATTCTGATTGCCCTTCTCGTTCTCGTATTATGCGGTCTAATTGCCTTCGCCGTTCTCGTTCTTCTTCGGAGGATGCAAAGACGGAGGAAAATGATGGCCGAGACTCTGCCGCAGTATCAGGACGTCAAGCGCACGGGCAACCACCGGCGTCTCACTATCCAGACCAGCAAGGCCAATGGCAGGTCAAGCGTCATCGTCGTGAGCAACGGCCAGCCCATGCTAGCGAATCCCCAGTCGCCGCCCCACTCTCCCGACAACGTTCCTGAAATCCACATCACCTTCCCTGACGAGCAGGATGACCAAGGCCGGCCGAAGAGCGGTCGGGTTGTCGTCGTGCGCGTGGGCGACAGCACCATCGGCCTCGAGCCTCTGCACGACGAGCAGCTCCCCGCCTACGAGAAGGAAAGCCCCACGCAGTTTTATGCGCTCGACATTGAAAAGATCGGCGGCTTGAAGGAGAAGGAATTCCACTAAAGCCACAGCAGTCAGCGCTTACAGAAAAACCCTAAATAAGCGCTCGTTCGGCACGAGCGGGCCAGGCATCCTTACGACTTGATGGGCTTGCGGAGTTGCGAGGAACGGGCAGGGAAACGAATCAGATACCACCATACACACGCCGGCGCTGCATTTCGCTTCTAATTCGGGTGAGCTAAGCCTCGCACTCGCAGTATTTCAACACTGGCCGAGGAGGATTCATTTTGGCAGCCTGGCCAGGGGAGCAATGATGGCCAGCCCTTTCCACCACATAGGCCACGACAGCGCGATGGTGGCCGCATACATTCGACATTTGATGCTTTTGGATGGCAATCGGGGGGAAAGAAGCGCTGCTATGTATATCTGAGATGCGTTTTCGACTGCATTGGGTGGGCTTGTGGCATATTTGTACGGGATATTCTAGTATTGTATAATTACTATTCAAGGCTTGCCGTCCGGCGGGCTTTTTCCTTTTCTCTTACTGCCAGGCCCGGCCGAGGTCCTATCAACGGAGCATATCTCGCTCCCGCTAGAGCGGAAGCTCTTGGCGAAGCGTCTGGGCTCCTCTACGACGACATGCTGCCATGATGCGAGCTCCCGACTGACATGCAATTGAGTTCGATTCGTCAATATGCTCCTCACCTCAAGGTAATCCGGCAAGGTACCAGGCAGAGGTTGAACACACTCTACTTCGTAAAAAGAAGAATGAGGGTTAGGGATACCCATGCGTCATAGCGACCCTCAAGGGACCCAACAGCGGTGGAGATATGTGTCTTCGCGGCGCGTTTTGGAACTGGAGATGTCAAACCTCTCCAAACTCCCACATAACGCCCAAATCTGCTTCAAAATGGCGCATTTCCCTTCAATTTCTTCAATTGCTGTTTGAATTCTCGCTAGTTCAATGGCAGCTGAAAACTTGCTCTAATTCTTGGACTCAGCAGCCTTTCCCTTTTGTCAGATCCTTGCCTTTCCCGGTTCCTAGGCTGCTGTCCCGAATCCTCAGTTAACACTCCTTTCCTTTAGCTCTCTGCTTAGTCCTCGCCGACAATGCCGCCGCCCCAACCGACGCCCAAGAAGGCCGTGCCCGCACCCGACTACAAAACCGTCGCCGCCCAATGGGCAGCTGCAAAGCGCGCCAAGGAGATTGAGGATGCGGATCGCAAGGATGTCGACGACGAGAAGGAGGATCGTGGACAAGTCAGCGAGCGGGAGCAGAGGAGGGCGCGGCTTGAGGCGGCGCGCAAGGCGGGCTACCAGGCCCGGTGGCTGTGGACGACGGGCTTCTGGGTCTGGATGACGTGCATCCACCTCGTGGGCATTGCCTGCTTCACCAGCGGGTTTCTGCTGACGAGGCTCGTTCTGGAGGACAAGGCGCGTTGTGACGAGCCGCCAACCGGTAATTCGAGCGTGCCGCACCTGCTGCCGGCGTGGCCGGGCAAGGGCACCGTCGACGGCGGCTGCTGGCATCCCAGGACGTTTGAACGAGCCGTGATCGTGGTCATCGACGCGCTGCGGTACGACTTTACCGTGCCCGTCGAGGACAATGCGCCGTTCCATAACGCATTTCCGTTCATGTACGAGACGGCCGTGAGGGAGCCGAGGAATGCGTTTCTCCGGCCGTTCATTGCTGATCCGCCGACGTCGACGCTGCAGAGGTTGAAGGGCTTGACCACGGGGACGCTGCCGACGTTTGTCGACCTGGGCAGCAGCTTCTCGGGCACGGCAATTGAGGAGGATAATCTTCTTATGCAGCTCCGGGATGCTGGAAAGCGCATTGTGCATCTGGGGGACGACACGTGGGAGGCCCTCTTTCCTGGCTACTTTGTGGGAAACCTGAGCAGGGCGTACGACAGCTTCAATGTCTGGGACTTGCACACAGTCGATAATGGCGTCATGGAGCACATCTTCCCCCTAATGAGCCGGAAAGACGAGTGGACCCTCCTCGTCGGACACTGTTTGGGTGTCGACCATGCCGGCCACAGATATGGACCTAACCACCCTGAGATGACGAAGAAATTGCGCCAGATGGATGACTTTATTCGCCGCCTGGCCGCGACTGTGGACGACAAGACACTGCTGGTCGTGATGGGCGATCATGGCATGGACGAGAAGGGCGATCACGGCGGCGAGAGCGACGACGAAGTTCAGGCTGCTCTTTGGATGTACTCCCCGAAAGGCATCTTTGGCAGGACGAAGCCCGAGTATGTCGTGCCTCCGTCCACGGCCAAGATCCGCCCGGTTAACCAGATTGATCTCGTCCCCACCCTGGCCCTATTGTTGGGTATCCCTATCCCTTTCAATAACCTTGGACGGCCAATTGAGGAAGCCTTTGCTGGTGCTGACGGCACCGCATGGGAGAATCTCGCTGCTGTGGAGCGGATGACGGCAGCTGGTATCAAGCGGTACCAGACGTCCTATTTTACCGTTCGGGGTATCGAACAGTCTTCGGCCCCTGGCTCCCCTGCAGACCTGTGGGACAAGGCTGAAGCTCTGATCTCCAAGGGTGGGAAACTGGACTGGGCCGCTGTCTTCTCTGCTTTCGCCTCGTACCAGGAAGGGACGCTGCGTCGATGCAAGGAATTGTGGGCGAGATTTGACCTCAAGAATATGATTACCGGTATTGTTATCATGGCTCTTGGGGTCATTGTTCTTCTCCTTTATGTTGCCAGTGGTGGAGACGACGATGTCATTGACGATCCAGAGCTGGATCTCGCAGAGAGAACTCTTGAGCTGCAGGGCGTCAAGGCTGACGCTGAAGTAGCGCCTTCAGACCTTGACAAGCGTCTAGTTTCCCCCGCCCTCCTTGGGGCATTGCCTGGCTTCTTCGGCGGTGTCATCCACTCGTTTGTCTCAGGGGAAGGTGATTGGTACCGAGGTTCCACTCTTGCCGCCCTCACCAGCATCGCGACAGTCATGGTCTCGATGCCAGATGTGAGAATAGCCGCCTGGAATATCTTGCCAAAGACACTCTGGGGTTGGTTGGCCCTAGTCTTTACCATCAGCCAGTCTGTCGGCTTTGCCTCTAATTCCTACACAATCTGGGAGGACTCGATCCTTCTGTTCTTCATGACAACCTTTGGCTTTATCACGGCTCTATCCGCGCTCAGGCTACCCTCCCTCGCTGACCGTTACCTGAGCATCTATCACTCGGTCCTCTTCGTGCTACTCGGGCGTTTGGCTTCTTTCTCCAAGCTCTGTCGTGAAGAACAGATGCCGTACTGCAGCTCGACGTATTACGCCTCCTCAACATCTTCGACCTCAGCGCCCTGGCAGCTGGTCATCCCCTTTCTGGTCTGCATCATTCTCCCATCTATCATCAAAGCCTACCTACAGCAGACCCGGTCCTACGAGGGCCTAGCCCCAAGCTGGATCGGCTACGTCTTCCGCACAGGCCTCTTCATGTCAGCCCTCTACTGGCTCCTCGATTCCGCCGACAACGGCAACTGGATCCCCGGCCTACCGGACAAGACAGTCAAAACCATATCCGTGTATACCGCCCAGATGGTCCTCGGCCTGGCCCTCGTAGCCGGCACAACAGCCTTTATCTGGGCGCCGCCCTGCGTCTCCATCGTCACCTCTGCCCTGCCTTCGCAGCCAGGCAAAGCCCAAGTCGCCATTCTGGGCTACGCCAACGCCCACGGCGCGCGGTATCTCCTGCTTCCCCTCAACATTCTCGGCGCGTGCTTCTTGCTCTCCAAACCCATGGGCGCCGGCGCACTAGGCGTCATGATCTGGCAGATCCTCTCCCTTCTTGAGATCCTAGACCTCAACAACCTTTCCACCTCGCCCATCGGCCCCGTCATGCTCGCCGTGCTCGGCACCTTCCACTTCTTCAAGACGGGCCACCAGGCCGTGCTGAGCTCGATACAGTGGGACAGCGCCTTCATCCCGCTCTTCACCATCCGCTACCCGTACACCCCAATCATCGTCGCCCTGAACACGCTGGCGGGCCAGATCCTTGCCACCTCGGCCGTTCCCCTCCTCGTGCTCTGGAAGGCAGGGCCAAAACGCAAGCGCGTGCTCGAGTCCGTCAGCCGCGCCCTCGGCGCCTTCGTCGCCTACTTCGCCGTCGAGAGCCTCGCCACCATGCTCTGGGCCGGCCACCTCCGCCGCCACCTCATGCTGTACCGCGTCTTCAGCCCGCGCTTCATGACGGCCGCCGTCGCGCTGCTGGCCGTTGACGTTGTGGTAATAGTGGTCGCGCTTGCCGGGGTCAGGGTCAATACCATGGCCGTTGGGGAGGTTTTTGGGTGGGCCGAGTAGACCGTTATCTCATTCTGCCGTGGTCTCGAAGACCGTCGGACTGGGAATATGTACAGATAGATCAAGAGAGGGAAGGGCGTTCCCCGAATTTATTTGTTTTTCAATAGTTGGGACATGGACTTGTGCATCGATAGAGCTTGTGAAGGTGATCGAACTTCGTTCTAGGTTCTAGGGCTATAGAATGGTATACCCCTCTGGAGGATAATCCTAGATAGCCTGAGTCTGTCGCAAGGGTTATGAATGTCATGTACCCGTCATCTCATCTTACACCCGTCTAATATTCAAATGTCTACAAATAGACGATACTCCTTGCGTTTGCAGATGCACATCAGTACCTGACCGGCGGTCCACGTATTGTGCAGTGTGCATACTTATTTGTCGCCGGATGGTTATCCTGAGCTCGAGATTCGACTCCTAGATCACTATTGCAGGATCGCTAGCCGCTTGTTTCTTGATGTACCGTCAGGAACAGGTTATCCCATCAAAGGCGCATACTGCATATCGTCACATATAGCATAGATACAAACATATAGCATAGATCCAATTCACGGATGATTGTTGGGACACCATGTACATATTATCCCCAGCATGCTATGCTCATCACACTACATGCATACAATATGGTATTCTCCAGTGGCAACCCACATTCTAAACCAGCCTATAACTTCACATGCGCGCTGCTTGGTGAAGGCAGACTGTGGCTTCGGCCAAAGACCGCATAATGTTGAAAACGCCGTTCGCACCCCTGACCGACTCAACTGGCAAGTCAAGTTTCCCTGAACCAACACCGAGCCCCCGAAAAAAGTAGAGTCCCTTTTCATCCCCGTGACCGCAAAACGCCGTGTTGAGTATGGCGAACCCCCTCCCGATTATGCTAATGCTGTTGAACCAGATCCGGATTTCCCCCTTGCCCACCAACGCCGAGTTGAGAATGGCGCTCCTTGAGGTATCATCTATCGTTACACATTTTTTCATAACCAGCCAGAGAACCCCAAAATGCTGATGCTGTTGAAAAAAATCCGGAAAAGCATACGGCACCCATCACTGATGATGCCTCTCGCGAGCTATTAGATTAGGCATTTAAGCCTTGGTGTACTGCTCGCGGAAGTACTTGGCAGCGTTGACCATGTTTGTCAGGGCGCCCTTGACCTCGTCCCACTTGCGGGTCTTCAGACCACAGTCGGGGTTGATCCAGAGCTGCTCAGGGCGGACTGATTTATTTAAGTTAGTATAGACGGACCGGGTACAGGCTTTACGAGGATGGACTTACGATAGGCCAGCATCTCCTGGATGCGCTGCTTCATTTCAGCCTCGGGAGGAACACGAGGGCTGTGGATATCATAGACGCCAGGGCCAATGTGGCGAGGATAGGCCTCGTCAATGAAAACCTTGAGAAGCTTAGCATCCGACTTGGAGTTCTCGATGGAGAGGACATCGGCGTCCAACGCGGCGATGGCGTAGAAGAAGTCCTGGAACTCCGAGTAGCAGAAGTGAGAGTGGATTTGGGTCGAGTCAACAACGCCGGCGGTGGCCAGCTTGAAGCTGTTCACAGCCCATTGCAGGTAGGCGTCGCGCTCCGGCCCCTTCCTGAGAGGAAGACCCTCCTGATTGATTTGTCAGCTTTGGTTTAGTGATGTAACACGATAAGAGCTGTGACTTACACGCAGGGCGGGCTCATCCACCTGAATGACAAAGATGCCATTCTTCTCGAGGTCGATCACCTCGTCACGAAGAGCCAGAGCAAGCTGCTGGCACTGAACAGACTGATGAACGTCGTCACGAGGGAAAGACCACCGAAGGCAGGTTACGGGGCCAGTGAGCATGCCCTTCATGGGCTTCTTGGAGACCGACGCAGCATACTTGGACTCCTTGACAGTCATGGGAGCCGGGCGGGAAATGTCGCCGACAATGATGGGGGGACGCACGCAACGGGAGCCGTACGACTGGACCCAGGCGTGCGTAGTGAAGACGTAGCCATCAAGGCGCTCACCGAAGTATTGGACCATGTCGTTACGCTCCGGCTCGCCGTGAACATAGACGTCAAGGCCGAGCTCATCCTGGATTTGGATAGCAAGGTCGATCTCCTTCTTGATAAACTCGTCATACTCCTGCTCCGTGATCTCACCCTTGGTGAACTTGTTCCGCTGGACACGGATTTCACTGGTCTGAGGGAAGGATCCGATGGTGGTAGTAGGGAACAGAGGAAGGTTAAGGTGAGTCTTTTGCTGAGCATACCGGACATCGAAAGGAGACTTGCGGTTGTGCATCTCGGGGGTGACCTGGGCCTGGCGCTCCTTGACCTGGGGGTTGTTGGTGCGGGTGGATTCAGCACGCGCCTTCATGGCGGCAGCGTTGGCGTCGAGCTCAGCGCGGACAGCCTCGGGGTCAGTCACGGCCTTGGCGAGGATGGCAACTTCCTTGACCTTCTCGCAGGCGAAGGAGAACCACTCGTAAACATCGGCCGGAAGCTTCTTCTCGCTGGCCAGGGTATGCGGAGTGTGAAGGAGAGAGCTGGAGGTGGCGACAATGACGCGGTCCTCACCAAGAGCCTTGATGGCGGTCTGCAGCAGTCCCAAAGATTTCTGGAAGTTGTTCTTCCAGATGTTTCGGCCGTCAACGACACCGGCAGCTAGTTGCTCAAGTCAGTCCACGTTCAGTCACTAGAGGTTCAAGACATGCGGTCACTCACAGAGGATCTGCTTGGGGCCGAGCTGCTTGATGACAGGCTCAAGCTGCTCCGGGTTGCGGACAAGGTCGACATGGAGGCCGCGGACATTGGCAAAAGCAGGGAGGACGTCAAAGTTGTGGACAATGTCGCCGAAGTACGTGGCGATTACGATGGCCGGGGCAGCATCGCCCAGGTTGCCGATGGTCTCGTAGGCAGGCTTGAAAGCGTTCTTGACCTCGGGCCGGAGATCAAAGACGAGAACAGGCTCGTCAATTTGTACACTCTCAGCACCGGCAGCCTTGAGCGCCTTCAGGAGCTCGACATAGACAGGCACGAGCTTGTCAAGGAGAGTGATGGGGTCGACGGTAGAGCCACGGTCAGCCTTGCCGAGAGCAAGGAAGGACACGGGGCCGAGCAGCACAGGCCTGGTTTGGAAGCCAGCCTCCTTGGCCTCGAGGAATTCCCGTACGGGCTTGGGATCGGCAGCAAGGGAAAAGGTCTGGTTATCCTGCAGGGTGGGCTTGACATAGTGGTAGTTGGAGTCGAACCACTTGACCATCTCAAGGGCAGGGACATCTACACCGCCCTTTTGATGACCACGGCCCATGGCAAAGTACTCATCGAGTGGCGACAGCTTCTGCGACCTGTACCGTTCGGGGACAGCCTTTGCAACGCCAACGGTTAGTCAGAGCTGCCATTGAGGGCAATTGGGAGGTAGACAGGACTTACATTGAAGAGCTGGATGTGGTCGAGAACATGGTCGTAGAAAGCAAAGTCGTTGGAGGGGATAATGTCAACGCCAGCATCCTTCTGGATCTTCCAGTGGGCGAGACGCAGCCTCTTGCCCTCGGCGAGGAGATCAGCCTGGGAGATCTTGTCGGCCCAATAGGCCTCATTGGCCTTCTTGAGGTCCCGAAGGACTCCCATACGTCTTTGCATGAATGGTTAGTGATCGTTCCATTGTCCATAAAAACAAGTCAATTGAACTTACGGGAATCCCAAGACAGATGACTGGACCATCTTGAGGCGGGGGAGGGGTCGAGCGCAAAAAATGTGAATGCGGGGGAGGGGGAGTATAGAGGACGACTTTGTGTCCTGTGCCTGCCTCTGGCTCAGGAAGAAAGAACAATGTAAAACCCGGTGAGGCTTTTCGAAGGTGAAAATGGATGGAGGCAGCAATGAGGAAAGCGGAGGAGAGAGAGAAAGGACAAAAGGGCGCGTCGAGGGGCAGGAGGGGGAGAATTTGACCTCTGGAGGATGCTGGGGGGTGCTTGTTCGAAGACCGTGATCGGGTGGGGGGTGCGTTAAAGTCCCACCGCAACTTTCGGAGCCCCACCGTCTTAGGAAAGGGGACCAGGAAGCGTCGAGACGGACACTTTGTTAAGCGGGGTCAGCTATCTGACACTGAGATTTTCGGAGCCTTTAGGACTTGGACTTGAAGATGGCGGTGTCACAGCTCTCCGAGATCACTTACTACAGCTCTGTTATCCGTACTTAAGTACACGAGTAACGTTATTTCCAGTGTCCAGATTTACTCTGTTTCGCACAGAATACTCCGTAGACCGTATACCAATACAATCTCGGGCACAACTAGATCAATGGAATTTATTGGAAACGTTATTGTGCGTGCGGATGATGCGACCGAGACCGAGCTGACCGGGTTTTTCTTTCGCACCACCCAAAGGAGGGAAGCTCCGTGGACCGGGCTCCGATGATTGCCCCTGCAGCCTGGACCCCTCAATGTGACCATCCCGACCGCTACTGTAGCCACAAAAAGACGAGATCCCAACCCTCCGCATCGAGAGCGATTTCCCAGCTTGCTCATCCATGGTCGGTTGACACCGGGAATCCACAAAGACTTGAACCCGGAAAGCCTTGATTGAAGCTGCTATGTCATGGCGTTTGAGGGTTATCAGAAACTCAAAAATTTTCATAAGGTATTGAGCGAAGTTTACGGTGCAGACGTTGACCTTCTGCGGGACGGTGCAGGATAGGTCAAAGTCGGAGCCCTAACGTTCTCCTTGAACGTAACGTTGAGTCCTCCGTTGCGATAGGTGCATCTTCCTCGCTATGCTGTGAGTTTCCATGCATGTGCTTGCAGTAATATTTTCTGCCTGAGGCATGAAGTATAGATCTTGCGGCCTGAGGCGATAACAGCTCATGGGTCAATGCTTTAGCTGGATACTTGCATTGCTCTGATATGCACATAACGGAAATAAACCATGTGGATGATGCAGTGGATGCAGTGCCCCAACCCTCCCTCCTCAATCGAGAACCGAACAAGGAGCCACGAGAGCCGACAACTGGCTGCTTTTCAGCCTCGCACAAGGCCTCGTCATCGCCATCCCTATTCTCAGAGGGCCGGCCTATCACTCCTTAGATTCTCGCACAGAGTTGCAGTAGAGTAATAACTTATTCGTCCCACTTTCACTTGGTTTATACCGCATCCCTCGATGACACTCGGTCGCGTTTCTCTTTCCGACTGACTGACTGCTTTTCTCCTCCCTATAATCGACCGCAAATCCAACCCAATTTGGTTATCGAAGGCGCCATGTATTCGAACTCCAACACCTTCCTCGGCGGGAACAGCCTGCGTCCTGGCCCTCAACAACAGTATGGCGGTTCGTTTGGAGCCGGAGCTGGAGCTGGACTGGGAGCTGGTCAACCACTGCAACAACAACCGCAGCCGGGTCCCTTCGCCCCGCAGCCGACGGGCTTCGGACAAGCGCCGCTCCAGCAACAATACACGGGCTACCCGGGCTTACAGCCGCCGCAAGGGTCCGGGCAGCTCCAGCCGCAGTTTACCGGCTTCAGCCAGACCCCACAGCAGGGCATGCAGTCCGCAATGCCGCCCATGCCTGCGATTCCGCAACAGTATCAGCAGCAATTCCAACAGCAGCGTCAACAGCAGCAGCAGCAGCCAAGTCCTTTTGCCAGCGCCCCGCCCCAGGCGCCTCCCCAGTCATTGGCAGCACCTCCTACTCCCGTGAAGCCTCAGCCAACCGGCTTCCAGGAGATGGCCGCCTCTTTCCAAGGTGCAAGCAGTGCAAAGCCCAAGACAACCGCTCCGAAGAAGACGAATAAGGTCCCCAACATCCGCCTGTCGTTCATCACAGCCCAGGATCAGGCCAAATTTGAGACACTGTTTAAGTCGGCCGTGGGAGATAGCCAGACGACCATGACAGGAGAAAAGGCGAGAGATCTTTTGTTGCGGTCTAGGTTGGATGGAGACTCGCTGTCTCACATCTGGTGAGTGATGATTCGGAGATCAGGATGTCTACGCTCCCTGGCATGCTGACCGTACTTCAACAGGACGCTGGCGGACACGACCAGATCCGGACAGCTTCATTTCCCAGAATTCGCCCTCGCCATGTATCTCTGCAACCTGAAGCTCACCGGCAAGACCCTTCCCCAGACCTTACCCGAGAACATCAAGAACGAGGTCTCTAGTATGGTGGATATCATCAATTTTAGTGTTGCCGAAGAGGCTGCATCTGCTTCCACCCCAAACGTCAACGCGCCTGATTTCGCCCTTCGGCAAAGCTCTGCGACCCCTCCCACGATCCAACATCCGCAGCCGCAGCCATCCAATTCGCAACTTCTCCAAGCCCAAATGACGGGTTTTCCTGCTCAACAGACTGGCTTCTTGGGCCAAAACCTCCAGGCGCAGCCAACGGGGATGCCCCAGGCTACAGGCTACACTGGCCCCCGACCGCCGATGCCGCCGATGCCGACGGGATTTGGCTCGAGCCTGTCGCCAAATGTTGGTCCAGGCGGTATGGTTGCGCCGCTAAATGCTCAACCAACCGGACGGCCCGGTCAATGGGGCCTTGTCAACACGCCAGCTTCCGGTCTGCCCAACATCGACGCTTTGCAGGCTCGCATGATGCCTCAGCAGGGCCGCGAACAACAGAACTATACCACTGCTGGCCTTCAAGGAAACGCCGTGATTCCTTGGGCTATCACCAAGGATGAGAAGACAAGATATGATGCTCTTTTCCGCGCATGGGACGGATTGAACAAGGGTTACATCGCCGGCGCTCAAGCGATCGAGATCTTTGGCCAGAGCGGCTTAGACAAACCTGATCTTGAACGCATTTGGACGCTCGCAGACAATGGGAATAAGGGAAGGCTGGATCTCGACGAGTTTGCTGTTGCCATGCACTTGATCTATCGCAAGCTCAACGGCTATCCGATCCCTAACCAACTGCCCCCTGAGCTAGTTCCCCCTTCCACTAGAAATCTCAGTGAATCGCTCGGCACCATCAAGAACATGCTCCATCAGGAATCGGATTTCCGTAAGAACTCGGGCGCGGCTTTGTTGCCGCAAAAGACCGGCGTCAGCTATCTCAAAAGCCACTCATTTAGGGGCGCTGGAGGAGCTTCTGGCGGCCGTAAGGATGCAACCGTTTTCAAGAACAATGATGACGAGGTCGGGTACCGATCCAGCGCTCGCCGCAGGGTTGGCACTTCATCGCCTCGTCCAGATTCCCCGGCGTCCGTGACGTCCAACGACGAGTTGACGTTAGATCAGCTGCGGAAGAAGATCAAGGAGAAGCAGGTACTTCTCGACGCAATGGATTTTGCCGATGAAAAGACTGCCGAGGAGGACGATATACTTGACAGGCGCGATCGCCGCGAGGCTGAGGAACTCTATCGTCGCATCAGAAGGATCCAAGAGGACATTGATAATCATCCCGATGCCTCGCTGATCAGCGGAGATTCCGAAGCTGAGAGGAGGGCCCTCAAGCGCCAGCTGCAGAATCTAACCGACAAGATCCCCGAATTAGCATCCCAGGTCAGAAAGACAGAGAAGGCAATTGCGGATGCGAGACTAGAGCTTTTCCGTTTGAGGGACGCCAAAGCTCACCCAGGGAGTGCCTCTGCCATCATCGGAACGGGCCCTGGCGGTACTATTACCGAATCCGACAGGCTCAAAGCACGGGCCAAAGCTATGATGCAACAGAGGGCAGCTGCTCTGACGGGCAAGAAGATCGACGTGGGTAATGAGGATCTGGACGCACCGAAGCGGCTTGAGGAGGAGAGTATCAAGGTGAGAACCGAGAAGGAGACCAATGAGCGGATGGTCCGGGATGTCGAAGATAGCGTCCGGGAATTTGCCAGAGGCATTGAAGATAGTTTGAAGGAGGGAAGCCAGGATTCTACGGCCGAGCATGAACGGCGCCGCTGGGAGGATGGCCTTGGCGTCGAAGACGAGGTTCGAGATTTCATCTACGATCTCCAGCGATCGAGCCGTGCCGCGCGTGTCAGGGCACAGGATCGTCAAGGTGGCCGCCGAGCGACTCAGGAGCCTGTCAGGGCCGAGGCATCGCCCGTTACTCGGGTGGAAAGTCCTTCCACGGTCTCACGCACCTCTACCCCGACATCTACTTCGGCGGGTGGATCCTACTCTTCGTACAAGACACCTGAGGAGCGAGCGGCCTTCATCAAACAGCAAGCTGAGCAACGCATGGCCGAGCGGCTTGCTGCTCTAGGCATCAAGGCGCCAACCAAGCCGGGAGAGACGGCGGCGCAGCGGATGGAACGCGAAAAAGCTGAGCGGGCTGCCAAGCTGCGGCAGGCCGAAGAGGAAGATGCTCGCCGGGAGGCCGAGAGACAGGCAAGGATTGCCGAAGAACAAGGTGCCCCACCGCCCACAGTTCAGGGCCCGAAGGCCGAGGCCAGGAAGCCGCCTCCGCCGCCCAGCCGCAAGGCGGCTAAAGTGGAAGACAAAAGGGCCGAGGAAGAGGCCGCTGCTAAGAAGGCAGAGGAAGAGCGTTTGGAACGCGAGCGGGAGGAACAAGCAAATGCCGCTCGGGAGCTTGAGTAAGTCTAAGAGAGCCATTGACCTTCTTAGCATTACTAACCTAGAATTAGGGAACGCGCCAGAGCCCAAGAGGAGGAGCTTGCCAAGGAGCGCGAAGCAGCCGATGCTCGGCTGAAAGCCCTTGAAGAGCAAGTTCGCCAGGGCAAGCTGAAAAAGGAGGAAGAAAAGCGAAAGAAGAAGGCAGCATTGGCCGAGGCTAAGCAACAAGAGGCTAAGCTGGCTCAGCGCCGAGCTGAGATCGAGGCTGCCCGTAGGCGAGAGGAAGAACTCCGCAAGCAACTCGAGGCCATGGAGGAGGAAAGCTCCTCAGACGATGAAGGGCCGGAACAGATCACTCCTCAAGCCTCGACACCGACTCTGGGCGGCAGCCAGGTTGGCAGCCAGGAGCTGGAGCGCAAGCCCACACCACCACCGGCTCCCGTAGTCTCTCCTCCGCAGATTGTAACATCTAGCCCTCCTGCCGAGACGGAGAGCCGCAACCCCTACTTTAGGATGATGTCGCAGTCCTCCGAGTCGTCATCGGCGCCGGCTGCTCCTCCTGCCCCAGCAGCTCCAGCTCCTCCGGTAGCCTCGCCGCTTCCGCCTCAGCCTGAGGTCTCTACCAACCCTTTCCACCGTATGACACAGGCCAGTGCGCCGCCTGCCCCGTCAATCTCGGTATCTCGGAGACGGGTCGACGATGATGGATGGGGCTCTGACAAGGACGAGGAGGATGAGGAGTCAGACGACGACAGGCCGGGAGGGCAGAGCGCCGCTCAGCTTGCATCCATGTTGTTCGGCACCATGGGACCCCCTCGTCCGCTGTCTGCAACCGGCGACAAGTCTGCCGCGTCCCCACCGGTGAGCTCTCCGATCTCGCCGCCGCCGCAGAAGGCTTCACCGCCGCCCACAACAGCAGCGCCTGCACCACCTCCGCCTCCTCCTCCTCCCCCGATGTCAGGCGCTAGTCCGAGCGCCCCACCGCCGCCTCCTCCTCCGCCGATGCCCGCTGCTGGAGCGCCATCAGCACCGCCGCCGCCGCCCCCAATTCCCGGGATGGCGCCGCCACCCCCGCCGCCACCCCCGGCGGTCGGCGACATGCCGGCTCCTCCTATGGGTGGCCGCCCTGCAGGCTTGCTTGGAGAGATTCAAGCCGGCAAAGCCCTCAGGAAGACGACCACGAAAGATAAGAGCGGGGCAGCCGTGGCGGGCCGTGTTCTTGACTAATTTATTTCTTTATGCGGCTGACTGCGCCCTGCTGCCATGTACCAAGGAGACGGGCGCGGAGGGTGATAACAGAGCGGGATGTACTAGAGAGTTGTAGAGGGGTTTAGGTTGCATGTAACTTCCGGATATTGTGCCAGACGTTGTTGCAACGGTAGTGATACGGGTACTTTAGGTAATCACTATGTATGCCCTACCCAGTGCTACCGTGCTTCCATAGCTTCGCTTACTTAGTATCATAGTCTTTGGCTTCTCTTTTTCTTTATACTTTTCTACCCATTCTCCGGGGGCTGCTGACCAAACCATGTTTTTGTTTTCCGTAAAGATAAGACGGACTCTCCTGGACAAAGTACTTACCTACGGCGGCTGCTTTTCGGTGTGCCACCCCGTGGTGGGCTCAGTTCCTGTGCCTGTACAGACGTAAGATGCCTGACATATATGTGATTCATCCGCCACCGGAGGGGAGGAGATTGACTCGAGGAAGAAAGGAAAGGGCCGAGGTATGAAAGGAGATTGTGGGCGCGCGCCTGACCCCTTTTCCAACGGTCATCCCTTGCACAAGTTACAATCTTGTTGTTTTTGTTGGTTTTCTTGGTTTTGTTGTCTGTGTCATCATGATCCCTTTGCGTCCCTTCAGGTCCCTCCCATCCCCCACCCTCGGTCCCGGGACTCCCGGCGGCTTGGGGTGATTGTCTGTCAATACTTACCTTAGAATCCTAGGTAGGTATTGTTCAGGTATGTATGTACAATACATATCCATCGGCATGCGTTCGTCGATCTGTTTTCATCACCTAGCGGACCTTCGACGAATCTTTCTGATGCGCAACTGTCAAATCATGATGGGATTGTTTACTATCTTTATTCTTAGCCTCAACAACCTGACTACCTGACCTACCTGCACTCGATATGTATGTAAATGCTAGTCTCGAGCTAGTGAATGGCAAGTATGGTGGCGTCGTAATAGCGCCGCACAATGGCATGTACCCCGGATTGCTGGAATCTGGATTTTCTTCTGGCCACCGGGCATGTATGCACTGTACCTAGTGTATGTATGTGTATATGTCATCTGGCCCTGGCTACAGCTGCGCTAATTGTTGGTTAGTAGAGATCAGTCGTTTGGGTTTATTTAGGTTCTGAGCTTGCGTGGTTTGACGTCGACGGGGAGGCGAGGCTAGTCAGTTGACTTGATGGCTTGCGTGGAGTCACTTAAGTGAGTGCATGTAGTTGCTGCACAAGTGCATGTCTCCTTCCATTATGGCAATGAAGTAAATACCCGTTGGCTCCACTTTCGCTGCACTCAAGGGGCCAACTCTAAAGAGTTGGGCGCACAACCCAGAGACGGCACGAAACCCAGAGACGATAGTGCAATATATTGCATACCACTACAATCACTAACAGATTGACAGTCGCATGCCCGAATCTCAGGCAAAACAGTACCTTCAAGAAAACGGGTATAACCATTAGACTCGCTTTGAAGAGACGGTTTGAATGATACCTACCTTTGATCGATGCATCCTATACTTGGAGGGTCTTTAGCAAAAGTGTTGCATTCTTGCACCTCATCTTGCACCTTGTCCCAAACTGACCTAGCTGACTTACAAGTCCAGATCAGCAACTTTCACTAAAATTCACCAAGAACTCCAAGAGCAGTAGAATGCATCTATTCAAAGTAAGTATCATTCAAACCGCCTCTTCAAGGCGAATCCAGCTATACCATTACTTTTCCAAGAAGTATAATGGTTGTAAAGATGCAGGTCGCTGGTGTTGCTGGCTAACAATTTTGTATGGGGAATGCACCAAGCTCTGATGTGTCTCTGGGTTTCGTGCCGTCTCTGGGTTGTGCGCCCAACTCTTTAGAGTTGGCCCCTTGAGTGCAGCGAAAGTGGAGCCAACGGGTAGCTAGAAGATGCCTCTTGTATGCAGGTTACCCCGCGGTCAAGCAGGGTGTCTACGGAGGTCGACTTTTTGGATATCTGGAGTTTAAACGGTGCTGACCTAGTCTACCTAGGAAAAGGTGAACAGACACACCTAACTTAGTGCAGATATGCTTGGTCTACTTCGTACCTTGACGTTAGCTGAGTTGCGTCATTTGGCTGAACCAAGGGAGCTTGCAGCAAGTCCCAAAGGCGACGGATACTAGCATGCAGCGGCTCCATCGCAATCGCAATCGAAGCCGCTCCTCTCCCGTAATCTGGCTCCTTTGATGGAGACGAGCCAGTGGGTGATTTTGCACTGCCGGCAGCAATTCCCACTTTCCGGTCGATCTCTGCAATCGAAGCCACTGCAAGAACTCCATATCCCACCTGCCAGGCTGCCAATTCACCCTTGTCGATGGATGAAACACTGAAACACGCTTAGACGCACGGCAAAAGGTTAGGCCCGACGTCTGGGCTGAGTGTACCTGGTTTACGAATAGAGATGTCCGACGTAACTCAAGTGCTCATTCTGCCGCTACCACAGCATGAGCCGTGGCAGGAGGTAGTGTATTGTATACTAGGTAGTGTAGTGAAATGCAGGCCAGCAGCTAACCGGTATCATCTAGATCACCTGGCTGAGTGCTTGCAGCGAGGTGGGGTTCTCGGGATAACTTCGTGCATCCCCATCGAAAGGATCTTGGGTTAGAGCGGGGGCGGACCAGAGGTGAGCGATGAACCCCAACAACGCCATGCTGTTCCTCCCTCATGTCGGTCAAACGACTGCTATAGAGAAGGCTTCCCTGATAGGGCAGGGATAACGCGATATCTTGGACTCGCTTGAGGACTTCTGAAGAGCGGATATGGACGCGGACACGCCGGAAAATGTGCACCCGCAAAAAGCTCCTGTTCAGGTGGAATTTGTGAGTCAAAAAATCCATTAGGCTCGACATTAGGCCAGGGTTAAGGGTTCTGGAACCCTGAATCGGCCATCTCGGCTTTCTTGCGGCGACGGAGTTGAGGGTTCCGGCTGGACCATGAACATCACCTTATCTTGTCCTGAATTCGGCCAAACAGGCGGCATCGAGAGAGCTGACGACATGGCTTTGTGGGACGCTAGTGTAGTGTACTCTGGACTTTGGCCTAGCTGTACTGCTGGTGTCATGGTGGATTCAGTCTAGTGTATGTATGTACATGACACTGGGCCTTAACACTAGCGCGGCCTACACAATGTTGGAAGCGGGTCGCCGTTGATAGCCAATGATGTCACAAATCGACCAGCTTTCAGACCAATTGCTCCCTGGGCTGAGAAGATCGAGGGCCTGGTGTTGTACCTCGTAGTGTATGTATGGGAAGGACGAGCGGCCCGCTGGTACGATACTCGGAGTTTGATGGCGCGGAAAATTTGGGCGTAGCAGACCTCTTGGTATCACATAGCTCGGCTTCTCTCAATGCCGCTTTCCCAACATTCTCCAGCGGATTCGAAGAGGCACACAATTTTTTTGGACCTTGGGCAGTTGGAAGCTGGAATCTGGGGCATTTTGCAGAGTTTGGAGGGTCGGAGACGTTGCGACTTGCTCTCGAATGGCGTGCTCTCATTGGCCAGAAGGCCCGAAAACGCGACCGAGACACGAACAATCGCTTCCAGTGGATCCCATTTGATAAACAAAAACGCGACGAGCCAAGGCAGCGCTGTCTCCCGGCGTCACCAAGTCATCGCAGCGTAGCAAACCAAGCATGTCCCGTCCAATCTCTGCCGACAATGCTTGATCTTGGTGATGTATGTGCGGAATGGCAGTTTTAGTGTACACAAGTGTAGTGGTTGCTTGACCTGCCACAGAGCCCACAGTAGTGTGCAATGTCCTACCCCGCCCGCTTCTGTAATCTCATGCACTGCAGCAAGCAAGCGCTTTGGTTCGAGGCAGGCCCTTTACAAGACTCCCGCTGTCTCGAGTTATCGTTCGCAGTCGGTGCCGTCGGTCAGGTCGACCTCGACGAGACCCCGCAGACAGGCCACTGGTGCGGCCGAGGCGCTACCTAACGTTAGCCCGAGCAGTGTCTGTCCATCTCGCATTGATCTGCTCACAACTGATGAATTTTTTTTTCATCCGGTGTACCCTATGTAACAAGTTGCGCGCGTGGGCCGCTGGATCGAACTCGACGATATCCCTTTGACGACATCGCCGAGGGCGGCAGGACCAGCCCGACCGCCTCAAGCCTCCTCAAGCCTCTCCGCTCGGAGGTCAAGCCCTGCCGTATCCCTGCACCCGAATCTTCGCATGAATCCCTGTCCTTGGCCCAGCCCACGGTTGGATTCTCGTCCAATCCACTTGCCGGCTTTTCTCCCTGCCTGTTCGAGGCCCCCACCGAGCCGTTCTTGGAACAGCGTGAGTGAGCTGGCAGTGTGGGCTTTTGTGGTTCTCATCTTGTGCGTGCCGCAACCCACCAACCGTGCCTCTTCATCCTCACGCTCCCCATCGCCTTGCCGCCCACGTCAGCCCGTCTCTCTTCTTCTTTCTCCCTCAACCGGAAAAAAAGTTGCCAAATTGATGGGTCATCGACCTTAATTCTGTCGGCTCTCCAATTCAACACCGCTTCGCTGCGAATAAAGACAGAATCACGATTTTTGGCCGACCTCGCACCAAAACGTATTTCTCACTAACAACCCTGGTGATCCGCCCGCCGCCATTTCGTGCCGACCATCTGGACTCGATAGCGCCTCGCGCGACGTGCATCGCTTTCCACACCGCCCCGCCTACACCTCATCTTTAAACTTGCACCACCGGTGGAGGTAAGCAACAGCTTGACAGCTTGTAGTCCTTTTGTCAGACCAACACATAGCGGTCTGCAAGACGAGACTAAAGCGTGCAAAAACTAATACGCGCGCATCCCTGTCCCGTTATCAGCGATCGCAAAGCGTTGTTGGCATCGCCGTCCACGATTGACTAACACATAGCAAAAGGACATCACTTTCGACGCATCTCATTGCCGCCCAATAAGCGCGCATTCTAGCCCGGCCGTCAATGGCCAGACCACCACAGTACCAGGCCCAAGAGCCTTTCCTCATCTATCACGACATTTACAGCCAGGCGACACCCATGATTAGCCATGCCCCGATGCCTCCTGCACCAAACCCTCCACGACAACCTCTCCAGAGCGCCAATGCCAATGTTATACTAAACCCTCCGACAGTGACCTTCGTCAAGCAGTCACCCTTCAAAACCAATGCGCCGCCATCAGACCAATCGCTCCAGCCTACCGAGCCAGCGCAGGGCAACAGGCTCAACGGTGCGGTTCGGATTGACCCTCCCGGCAACTCGGGGCGCCCGACGGATTCGCTCGAGAAGAAGCAGCCTGTGATGTCGCGGTTTAAGACCGTTGCGCAAAAGCCCCATCCCGAATTCAACATCCAGTTCATGGACAAGGAGAACATGCACCCTCCGATTTACCCCGCACCGGCGCCATCGCAATTCAACCTCCCCTTGGAGACTTACTATCAGAAGCCCAATGGGAAACGCCTCCTCGAAGCCGCTCCTATTAAGGAGCTCCGACCTGCAAAGCAGCCGAGACTCGACGACACCCTTCCTCCGCACGACTCGTTCCCACCCATCCATGACGATGGGAAGAAGCCCGGACACAGCTACGCTACGCTAATCGGCATGGCGATTCTCCGGTCACCGCAGCGCAGACTAACCCTGGCCCAGATCTACAAGTGGATTTCGGACACGTTCAAGTTTTACAACGCCAACGACGCGGGATGGCAGAACAGTATCCGTCACAACCTCAGCCTCAACAAGCATTTCATCAAGATTGAGCGGCCGAAAGACGATCCGGGCAAGGGTAACTATTGGGCAATCGAGCCCGGTGCAGAGCACTTGTTCATGAAGGAGAAGCCGTCGAGGAAGTCAGCTGCCAGCGCCGAAAACATGCCTGTCATGTCAACCCGCCTGGAGCCATCTCAGCCTCAAGCCCAAATGTCTTTCATCCATGAGTCTATCTTCCCCCCCCAGGCCCCCGCCCCTCAAAGCTCTCTTCCCCCGTTGCCCCCGGCTTCGCAACAACTTGCGCCTGCTCCGCCTCTCCCCGAGATTTCATCCGACGCGACTATCCCGGTTTCGGACCTGGCTACCATAGACGACGGGCTTGAACGACCGGCCGAGAATGAACTCATAAACGAACCCGTAAACGAACCCGAGCTTTACTCGCCGCTCCCTGCATCCATGCACTCGTCACCACCAATTCCCAAGCACATCGAGGCCCGCCACAGTGGAACTCCGCCCTCGCAGCCGCGTCTGCTCCCTTCATCAGGCACTAAGTCACGTTCTCACAGGAGGAGGTTCATGTCGATGGATGACAGCGGCTACATCTCCTCCCTGGAGTCCTCTGCCATGCGTCCGAACCACCCTTCCAAACTCCTCACCTCCGAGGCGGATCGGCCGCGGATCAAGAGGGGACGAGCCGAGGAAGAAATCGCTCGCCTTCGTGCTTCATCATACGACAGTCCCTCAAAGGGCCGGTCCTACGGGTACCCTCCACCTTCATCGTCACCCCTACGACAGCCTTCACAAAGCGGTTCGGGCCAAATGCTTCCGCCGCTCACTCCGGCAATGAAGTTGAAGGCCCCCCCGAAGCCGCCACCCTCTGTGTCACCGAGCACAAATTTGCGGTTGCATCGGGAGAACATACAATCTTTGGTCGAGTCGCCTGTCCGACGTATCAATGCCTTGCTTCCCGAGAGTGAAAATGTTCTGCAGAACACACCAGGCTTCGACATCGACCAATTACTCTATGATATGGAGCGGAAGACGGACGACAATACGGGCTTTGACATTTTCGAGGACCAGCCGCCTTTCCCATCCGTCTTTGCGCTGACACCTGGGGTCGCTTCTAACGGGTCTCCTGCCAAGCGGTCGGTGAGGAAGCAGCGGCTCGAACGCTCCCAATCCACCAGCGTGTTGAATGATGCGACAGCGTCTGCTACGAATGCCGCTACATCCTTCCTCAAGCTCCCGAATCAGCCATCCAACTTGCTCCTCGACACGCCAAGCAAAGTCTTTGACGGTCTGCCGTCGTCGCCAAGCAAGCTCTTTCTGGATCTGCAGTCGCCAAGCAAGATGCCCATGACCAACGACGAGAACCTGGAACCGTGGAATTGCTTCGACCAGTTTCAGGCAGACTTCCTGGAGGAAAATCTCTCTGGGTTTGATATGCTGGCTGGCTTTCAGAAGATTGGTTCGAGCAACGGGCAGACGACCTCACGGAGTTCGAAGGCGGCCCAGAAGGCACCGCTTGGTCGTTCGCACACGACTGCTTTCTAAACCCTGGCTGTTCCACCTCTGGGAAAGCGATGGTGCTTGCCAACCGATTTCGCCTTTTCATCTCGCGTCTTTCATTCGGGTGTCCTACTCTGATTTGCGGGCATCGTCTTGGTCATGGGTCCATTTGGGGGAATGCTGTTGCTCACGACTGTTACGATTGACGACAACCACATCACAACGGGTTATTCTGTCGCTTCCTGCATCCAGCGTCTTGGGCTTCGGTTATCCATGGGCCCGAATTTTTTGTTTTTGTCTTCTCTACACTTTGTGTGTGTCTCAGCGAGTGGATGGGGATTGGCTTCGGCCCAGCGTAGGCGTCACGAGCAAAGCCGGTTGCAACTCCTGTCCCTCTTTGTCAACAAAGCCGCGGACGAGGTGCAACAGGTGAGGCCAGGGGATGGCTATTCCACTGCCAAATCGCTCGCGGGGCTATGCACACTTTGAATCTTTGCGTTGAGTGTTGTCTTGTGTGGGAATTGGGGGTCGGGATTTCTTGTCATATACGCTGCTGTCACGAATTGTAATGAGGTAATGTCTGGGCCAAAGGTATTCAGGGGGTCGGGAGCGAGGTCATAACACACCGCAAGGGGCATAGCATACCGGGAGTCTTAGTCGGAGATAGGTTGGATCGGAGGTCCCAAAGGTCTCTGTTGCTGTATTTTTCTTTCGCGGGTTGGGCCTGGTTCAGCGATGGGAAATCTGGTTTCGGTTCTCCCCAAGTTGGGATTCAAGTGCTGGCTTCGTTTCCTGGTTTCGGGACATACTTTGAGCGACATTGGGTTGGATGGGCCGGATGGACAACTTGGCTGGGTCGGGGTTGGATGGGCCATTCCCAAGCTCAAGGGCAGCGATGAGGGATTTGTATCTTTCAAGTTCCGAACAGCGCGGGTTTGGTTTGGGCTGCTTGCTCTTGGCTGGGATTGGTTGGGATATGGTGTTCGGTCTGGTCTCTTCTTGTCCCTCTCCCCAGGATTGGTCTGGGGATGGACTGCTTAGTTCCGGTTCTTACTCTGCCGCTGCTGATCGGTGCAATTTGAGTTGTATGGTTGCGCTGTCCGAAGAACGTCCGGACTTGCTGGGTTGCATGTTTATTTCATCCGGTCCTCTACGTCTCGTGATTCAGGGTGATTATTGTACCTCCAGTAGTAGGTCAGATAGTTTGTGTACACATACCTCCCCTGCTGCCCTTGCTCCAAGTCGTTCACTCCATCTTCCAAAGTCTGGGTCTAGTTCATGTTTGTTTAGGGGTATCTCGAATCACTCCTCCTGAATCCAAGAGAGAGAGTGCTATTTTACCGGTGCCAGGAAAGAAATCCACAGCCTTCCTTTTACTGTGCCCTTGTCCGCCTCTATCCAAATGCCTCCCTCACGAGAAAAAGGAAACGAACCCAAAAACGCCAAATCCCATGCGAGTTATCCAAACCCTTTCTCAATAGTGCCGCACCCGTTAACATTTGTGCTCACTCAGACAGCCTAAGCCACGAAATCCCTAGCCAACGCCTCGTTCTCCGAACATTGGGACAACCAAGTATATACCAGAGGAAAAAATCGCAACATTGACACCGGATGGTCTAGTAAATGCCCATCCGCGTGGCCCAGCCAGAGGCCTCCTTTTGGTGATGGCTGCCAATGTTGATCTGGTAGGGAAACGGATTCGACTCGGTTGTCGTGATGGGCGGGATGTGGTCCTTGTGGGCGTTGGCCAGGGTGACGGCCTTCATGATGGTGTTATGGAGAGTCGTTTCGGAGGCCTTGCGGACCTTGGCACGCTCTATGCCAAGCAGAGAGAGGTAAGCCAGGCACTGATATATCTAGGGGAGGGAAAAGAGAAACAGATTCGACGAACCTCCTTCCGTCCTCGGCTCGGCAACCGTGACCTTGACGGTCCAGCTCTCCCAGCACACCTCGTCGTCGCCGCGCATGTTGTACAACCACGTCTTGCGCCGGCGCTTCTCAAAGAACTGCACCGTGATCTGCCCGCGCCCGGAGCCGGAGCCGGCCGACGACGATGTCGCGCTCGGCGGCGTGATCCCTAGCCCCGTGCCGCCGTGGTGTCCAGCAACACCCTGCGGCGGCTGGTGGCGCTCCGACTCGAGATGCCGCACCAGGGCGGCCACGCGCTGGTCGATGAGCGTCTCGATCTCGGCCTCGGGCACATACGCCAGCTCGAGGCCCAACACGTCGCGGGTCTGCGGGAGGATCGATGGGAAGAAGCGGAGGAAGAAGATTGTGTGCAGAATTCCTGGATAAGGCTTCTAGTTAGTGGGTTTTTGGTTTTCCCAGGTTTCATGCGCGATTGAGTGAACGGATCGCAAGGTTGGTAAGGAGGGGCAGACACAAGACGGCCACGAAGCACCCTTTGCTGCGCTCGGTTCAATGAGACACTTACCGCGAACAACATCGCGCACCGAATTAGGGTCTGCAAATGCCTCGAGCGTAAACTCGAGTGCGCCGCGTTGATCCATAGCAACAGAATTGACTTTTCCTGCTGTGTGTAGTGTGAGGGCCGTCGATACTCCAGGTCGAAGCGACGGAGGGGCAATTGCGATTGAGGGGCTAATTACTCGGATGGCGGAGCGAAATGAGCACTGTGACGTTGGCTTTGTGGAGTGTGTTCCGGGCTTGTGTGACATTGAACCCCGGATTCAGCGGTGAAGCCCCACCGTCGGGTTGGTTGTAGGTAAAGATGGAGAGTTTGTGGAAGCGGATGATCAAATGATCTGTCGTGTGTACATAAATGAAGTTAGATTGCTTTTGACTAGAATCTGATCTCGCAACCCTCATGCTAATCCCGTCACTCATTGCGCCGTTCCTCACCGGACTTAGGTACCTGTAGTACCTCACCGTCCCGGATCTGATAGGTACTGTACGGTAAGGGTTAGGGTTGGATCCCAACCGCTGTCCGCTATCAGCCCTATCAGCAGGGCCTGCCGAGCCGAGGTTACTGTACGAAGTATCCTGCAGCGCGGTCCGCTGCAGCACCCCCGTCATTGGAGAGCTGGGCAGCAGCGCAGCTCATGGTCGTTTGAAGTTGCAGTCCAAGGCCGCCGCGCAACCAGTTCAGCCTTGGGAGACCAACATCTCACAGACACATGCTCAACTTGAAGGGTTTGCATCGACAAAAGACACCATGTTCGCAGCAACGCGAAGATGGTTCCAGCGCAACCGCACGCCCGTTGCCATCGGCTTGGGCGTCGTCGGTGCTGGCTACGTCGTCACCACATATGTCCTGGGCAAACTCAGAGATGCGCGTGAACGCATGAGCAGCGATCGCATAGCAAAGGAGAAGTGCGTCGTCTCTTCTCTCTCTCCTACCACCACAACCAGACGAAATCAGGTTTAGGAGGGACCGGGGCTAACAACAGCACTATCAGTTTGCGACGGCGCTTCGAGCAGAACCAGGAGGACTGCACCTTCACAGTCCTCGCCCTCCTCCCTACCGCGACGACCAACATCCTTGAGGCGATGAACACAGAGAAGATCACATATGAGATCCAGCAGATGAAGGGGTCAGCAACTGCCAGGACCCGGAGCATCGGCTCCACTAGCCCACCCAGCATGTCCGAGACAAACGCGACAGACGACGACGGCCGCAGCATCGTCACTGTGAGCGCGCAGAGCGAGGCTGGCATACATACAAGCCAGCTCTCAGTACCAACGCCACTACCCGGCACATCACAGAGCAGCGGGACTGTTGAGGCGCCGCCAGCGGCTCATTTGACACCACAAAAGCCGCGCAAGACCAAGAGACAGCTCTGGGATGATCTGACGATAAGCTGTACGTCCCCCTTGAATCTCTCCTTTCTTTCCGCCCACTGACGTGGTTTTCGCTCCGAGCAGCAATCACAAGAGCATACACTCTCCTGTACACGCTCGGCCTCCTCACAATGCTGACAAGGATACAACTGAACCTCCTGGGCCGCCGCAGCTACCTCTCGAGCGTCGTCTCGCTCGCAACAGGTGGCGCTCAAGCGACTATCAGCCTAGAAAACAACGACGACGATGGCCCGGAGCAAGCCTACGGCACCGACTTCGACGTCAACCGCAAGTACCTTACCTTCAGTTGGTGGCTGCTCAACCGCGGATGGATCGACGTGATGCAGCGGGTCGAGGCCGCCGTGCGCCAAGTTTTTGGGCACCTCAGCCCGCGGGACACGGTGACGCTCGACACCTTCTCCAGACTCACTCGCGACGTACGCAGCCTGGTGGAGGGCAGCGCGCCCGCGAGCGGGGTGGGCACCGCCTGGCTGCCTTTCCTGCTGCCGCCAGCCAACATGGAGGAGTTTGTGCTGCGGGAATCAGGCATCCTCGATGCCGATGCCAACAACGACAACAACAACAACAACAATTCCTCCACCTCCCACCTCGACCCGCGCTCTAATCAGCCCCTTCCATCAACCCCTCCCTCCTCCTCAAGCGCCCCACCGTCCCCCTCCACCGCCGCGTCACTCCGCCGCCTGCTAGACGAGACGGCGGACCTGATCGAATCGCCCGCCTTCTCGCTCGTGCTCACCCAGCTGCTAGACGCCGGCTTCTCAGTCCTGCTCGAGCAGAAGCTCACCGCGGGCGTGTTTGATAGTAGTAGTTCATTGTTGTCGCCCGCCCAAGCCCAACAACAACAACAAGGGTCTACTATCCAAAGCACCACCAATGTCGGCGCGAGCGCGGGCAGCAGCCGCGCGGTGCTGCTGCCCAAGATCCTGAGCGTGCTCACCCGCCAGGCCCACGCCATTGGCAACGGCATGCCCAACGAGTACCTCCAGGCCATGGAGTCGGTGGCCAACCTGGAAGGGTTTGCCGCGGTGGTGTACTCGAGCAACTGGCAGGCCGAGATTGCTGCCGGGGAGCAAGGGGATATAGGGGTGGAGGGTGCTGGTGACAAGGAGAGGGGAATGGTGGGGAGGGAGAAGGAGGGTGGCGGTGGTGGCAGGATGATGGCGGAGAGCATGCTGGGCGGCGAAAGTGGGAGTGTCGTCTTGGTGAGCGACGCCGACGACGCGAGCTTCCATAGCGCGTGGCAGAGGGCAAGCGGCGGGAAGTGACTCTGTTTCTTTTCAGTTTACCTTCTTGCATAGATGTTGTATTATCTATCATTATCTATTGGCAAAGCTTTGGGGGTCGGACGGGTGACCAAGAGGGGGGCTTATGGAAAGGCATCAGTGCGTGTAAGCTATCTTGAAGAATGCGTGCCTATTTCTGGACACGGTATGATTAGAATACGATGGGCTGGGATAATAGACACTCGCGGTTGGCTCACAACTTATTGTCGTTCATTATTGCATTCGGGTCTGGGTTGGCAGTGCATGGACAGTCAATAGATATTACTTGAGTTGGAATGCCCTCTGCGGGTTCAGCTAACTGACACATGTATCAATTTCGGGTATCTATGTGTTATTAGATCTCAGTTTCCCGGCCTCGCCTGCTTGATAGCAGGATTCCCATCCCCTAATATTCCAACAGACCAAAGCCCAGTGGTGGGCTGAGTTGCTGTACTTCTGCTCTGCGGTCCTCTTTGAAAAGGCGCCGCTTTTAAGCCATGACCCCGGTGGTGGTGATACTGAACCGCCGTCTGCTCTATAACAACAGTGAGGAGAGACTTTCCCTCACTCGCTAGGTAGCCAGAGCTACAACAGGGACAAAGCAGGGCTCTCTCTCCACTAGTGACTGATGGTCCGGGTGCCGTCCGTCGGCGTACGGATATACCGACTCTCATGCCAGGCCCCTAATGAACTGATCCAGGCCCAGCTCGAATAGCTCGTTCCTTACGCCCCGACCACCCTTGTGCTCGACAGGCGAAAGCGGGTTCTTGACGACTACATATCACAAGGGCAAGAATCATGCTTCGTTAGCGGAAATGGCACTACAGCCCTGGTTTGGTTTGGATGGCCTATGTTGCATACCATACTCAACCCAGAGATTGATGTAGATCTGGTGCAGCACGTTGCGCATGCTCAGCGTGGCCGTGTCGGTCAGCATTACCAGGCGCAGGTTGCTCGCCGTCTCGTAGTAGTGCAGCTTGTAGTGGGCGGTGCGGTAGCTGACAAAGGCGTCGTCGTCGCCGCCCAGCTTCCGCACCATGTTGCGGAGTGAAAAGACGGTGCCGAAGATGAGCTTGGCGTCGTTGGCGGCGGCGTTGGCCGACCGGGACGCGTTGGCCGCCGTCGAGTCCTCATGGAACTGGGCTGGGGGAACCCACGACTTGTAATAGATGCATTCCGCTATCGGGTGTGTGCGAAAGTTCGAGTCAATATATCTGTGACGTGTCCTGATTTGGATCAGTGATGAACATACTGTGCCGGTCAAAGATGTAGAATGAGTAGACGACCATCGTGTGCTAATTGGCGTAAAGGGGGTTGAGGTCCCCTGAGCGGAAACGAAGTTCGGGCCGGAGGGCGCGATGCCGAAACGGACGGGATGCTGATGCTAGGGTTAGTAATTACGACGTCGACAGGTTGGCGTAAGGTTCGGTTGGTGTGTTCACACGGTTGTCGGGTTTCTTCCAATGAGATGGATGTCAGGACACAATTTGGGTGATCGATTGATCGGTTGTGCGAGGTCGCTCGTCCTCATACCCGATTTGGTAACATGCTGGCTTCCCGATGCATGTCTTGGCGCCGGTACTGTGTGATACTTCGTAAAATGGCCAAGGAAGTGCCAGTCTTGCTGATATGCATCGCGTTCTTAAAGTATGTACGATGAGTGTTGCGATGCAGATACCTCAGCAGTCGCACTTGGACCGATTTTCATCTAACTCGCATGAGATCGCAGCTATAAATTAGCAAGAAAACACACCCGTTCATCACCTCCCCTGCAAGTTCCCTTGTTGAGGCTCTCAGACAGGTTGCAGGGGTGCGGGGTATCAGTGGGGTTTAGTGTAGAGGACCGGGTTGAGATTGGGTGACGACTGCCCTACTGGGTAACTGCCCTGTAGGGCCCGGTCCTTGTTCTGTGAGCCTCTGACCAGATGACAATGCAAAGATCCAGGCCTAGAATTTTGTCTTCCATTGTGTCACTTCGATTCGTTTTGTCCCAGCGACTCCCCAGCGACTCCTGAATACGAACTTCCATGTCTTGCAAGATACCCAGTAGAGCACTTCACTTTGAATGAGATTTGAGCTACAGAAGAATCACAAGCTGGTTGGCATCTCCATTTCTGATGCCACTGGTCCCCTCCCTCTTCCGCTGGGTCTCCAACTACCTCTTCATCTGCAACCTACCATCGGCGAATCGCCTGCCTATCCGGAGACCGTTGCTTGACCTCCCGTTGTTCTAGTTGGTGATACGATTGTTTAAGTGTCTGCCGTATATCAGACGGCTCAGCGGTTTGCGAGTTACCCCCAGCAACCTTCTCACAGCTCGCTCAGAGACATAATTCCTGAGTTGCGCCGACTTGTTGGTTGTCCACCTGCGGGCATGACCGCAAGGTTGTGACACACGCCACACCTCACGGCTTCACCACCCTACAGAGCCTACCTACCCCAAGTTACCTACTTTAAGAGCATCCCACGCGCACCCCGCAGGTCTGCAAAAGCGCAAAGTCGGGTCTCGGCTGGCCGATACCCTGCTTGGCGCTGCCCCCCTGCAATAGCACGCATAGAAATCCTACGGCTTTTTTTCCATCTTAAATGAGGAACGGGCTGCTGGACAATGAAAGAAATGGTTTATCAACAAAAACAGGATCAGTACCATTTGCAATCCCTTCCAACTGCACACGCCTTGCCCTTGCGCCCCGGTGTTAGCGACAACGAGACAATGACCCCTCCGGCCGTCACCCCGGTGCCCCCCGGCTTGGTGTCACCGGGCATATCCGTCGAGTTCCACGGCGAACCCGAACAGAGGCCTGCATTGATACACCCTCGGTAAGTAAGTTTGCGTCTCTTGTGCCTTGAACGTGTACTAAGGCGGGCCTTACCCTAGCTCGGCGCCTCCCGATATGCAGCGCTTTCAGAGCCCCATGAGACACCACCAAAGGACGCCGTCAGTTCATCGAGAGATCAAGGTGGGCTGAAGCTCTGCTCTCAACTGATCCGGTGCGCGTTGACATGTTGTTTAGGAAACGCTCGATGCGCGGTCAGAGTACACAAACGATGACCCGGAGGGCCGTACACACTACCGCATCAACCAGTACGTCATCAAGGACGAGATAGGCCGTGGTTCGTACGGCTCCGTGCACCTGGCAACCGACCAGTACGGACACGAATTTGTGTGTAACATCTCTTACTATATACCCCATATTGAACCAGCCAGTGACTGACCCCTTAGGTAGGCCGTCAAAGCCTTCTCCAAGACGCGGCTTAGAAAGCGCGCCCAATCAAATGTTCTACGTAATGGCCCGAGGCAGTTTGGCCGCTTCCCGCCTCGCGCAGGCTTTGGCGCCCCGGATGCGGCTAATGATGGCTTCTCCGACTACCGAGCAAAGGAAGCCAAGGACGCTCTCTTTTTCATCCGCGAGGAGGTTGCCATAATGAAAAAGCTAGACCACCCCAATCTTGTGCAACTGATTGAGGTTCTGGACGACCCTGAAGAGGACACCATGTACATGGTTCTGGAGATGTGCAAAAAGGGTGTCGTCATGAAGGTTGGGCTCGGCGAAACCGCAACCCCCTACCCGGAGGAGACATGCCGTCATTGGTTCCGAGACCTGATTCTCGGCATCGAGTACTGTGAGTTAGCTCACCTTGTTAAGCAACCTTGTACTCACTTCTTGGACCGTAGTGCATTCTCAGGGGGTCGTACACCGTGACATCAAACCGGAGAACCTCCTGCTCACTGAAGACGACGTGCTCAAAATTGTTGATTTTGGTGTGTCCGAGATGTTTGAGAAGACGAAGGAAATGAGGACGTCAAAGCCGGCCGGGTCACCAGCTTTCCTGCCCCCCGAACTTTGTGTCCCAAAACATGGTGACGTCTCGGGTAGAGCAGCGGATATCTGGTCCATGGGGGTTTCCCTGTACTGTCTTCGTTACGGGAGAATCCCCTTTGAGCGCGAGGGGATCCTGAACATGTACCAAGCGATCCGGACCGAAACGCCCAGGTTTCCGCAGGACGAGAACCCAGATTTCGTCGACTTGATGGGAAGGCTGATGGAAAAGGACCCGGAGAAAAGGATAACGATGCCCGAGCTTAGGGTAAGTTTCATCATCAGATGGTAGGATACAGGAGATACACTGACCGCCTCGTAGGAACACCCTTGGGTTACGAAAAGGGGGGAGGACCCTTTACTCAGTGCTGAAGAGAACTGTGCCGACACCGTCGATCCGCCCAACCCTTTAGAGCTGAACCACGCCTTCACCAGACGGATCACCCACCTAATCTATGTCGTAAGCTCTGCCTTGGCCCAGCCCCTTTTCAGCGCCGTTTGCTGACTGAGGCACTGCCAGATGAAAGCAATAAACAAGTTCAAAAGCCTTTTGGCGTCAAAAAACACCTCCAGCGGTGCCCGCCTCAGCGCCTCAGCCGATGCCAACGCCACTGCGTCCAACCCATCGTCCTTGTCTAGCACACAACCCCCAGATTCAAATCACCCTCCCAAGCCCGAAAAGAAATCGACGGCCGAATACGCAGCCCACCTGCTTCGCGAGCGTGAGCAGTTCCTTGCCACCGTCGGTAAAACAGGCCTTGACAGGTTACGGCCATTACCATCATCACCGTCCCACCCGTCCACAGACCCGACGGCTCTTCCGCTCGAACCACCCCGCCTGCTGGGCATTGGCACAGGCGGCATCGACAGCTTCGGCAGCGAAGCTGATCTGCCCGTTGCCGACGTCGTCTCTGACTCTCCGACCGCGGTGGACTTCAACATCTATGACCGGGCGTATGAAGCCGAGGTAGAGAGGATCAAGAGATCGGCTTCTGTCACCGGCGGGAGGAGAGGTAGGGCTGCTGCTGCTGCTGCTTCTGCCGGGCAAGTGGGCCGCATTTATAGGACTCGGTTGAATGATCCTGCCTCCTCTTCTGCTGCTGGTGGTGGTAGCGGTGAGGGCAGTGGGAGGGCGGTGGAACACTATAAAGTTGGGGATGGGGAAGGGGTGGTGACTGAACCTGACAACGGGGAGAAGGAGGAGAAAGCGGAAACGAAGGGAGAAAGGAGGATGCCTAGGAGCTTGTTCGACGCTTTTAGGGAGATGAAGAGGCCTGAAAAGTCTATGTTTGCGGACGTGGCGGCTCAGGCCATGTTAGAAGCCAAAAAGGCCAAGGGAGAGGATAGGCAGGCTCAGGGTTGAGGTCGAGCGGTTTGTGCTCTTGTGGTATGCTTCGAGGGCGGTTTTTATTCGGGCGAGGGTGGGACAGGCGGACCCTGGGCACACAATCCTGATCATGCGTTTATTGCTGGTTGCTGGGGAGGTAAATGGGTTGGCTCTAAAGGAGATGGTGACGATGGACGGAGGAAGGGGGTTGCAGGCCAAACCCTCAGTTGAAGCAATCCATTGGCTTGGAGGACCACCATGGTGGTGGAGGTAGCGATATACTAGCCGGTTAACGGTGATTTAACCATTCACTCTTCGGGACGTGAATAGTGAGAATGGGAAAGAAAGTGAATGGAGGATATTCAGAGAAATCCTACATGGTAAGGAAGGTGAGAGAAGGTGGATATGCTTACCGTGGCCCAGAATGACTTTACGCCCCGTCTTATGAGTTGTGAAGCAGCGCCTAGCGCTTTGCACTGCCACAATCCCCCTCTCGTCGTTACACGACTAGGACGAGTTGGGCACCGACTGCCCGATTGCTTGATTGTGTGCTTGCTTGCTCTTGCCTTTCAATCTGGTATTCTACGGTATATTTGTGTCCTATTTTGGCCTCTTTCCCCTTTCTTTTCGGGGAGGCATGACCTCGAGTGGTCAGACATCCATATTCAGGGCGAGCCATACCAGATGACTCGGTCATCACCGACCACGTCAAGAGCTCATTTGTCTATGCTACTGTAGCATAGGTGCCGAGATGGTGGCTAGCGTCTGGCTCTTGCTGTTATCCATCCTCAATGTCCACAAATGGAGGAAAGTCCAGCCCGGCCTTACTGCTTCGCGCCAGTATAAACCCCGCCCCTCCCTATGGAAATTTCAGATCACAATGCCCATGCTCTTCACGAATATCACCGGCCGCGACTTCAACTAAGCAAAAAACATCCTTTGCTCGAGATGCAGCACACCTTGCCATGATACTTGTTAGCGCGAATTCCTCTTGGACAGTGTCGCTTTGGTCGTCGGACGGGTCACCGATTCTTCGCATGTTCCAGGTCCTGGCTAGCACTTCGGGCAAAGACCGGTCGCTTTTGTCGACTGGGCGAAATCGACGTCCTTACAGACGACAAACCAAAACAACGATAAAGTAAACAGAAAGCGTGAAATTGCAGCATCGACATTACTGACGTCACTTGCTGTAATAGCGTTTTGGCACCTACGGATAGCAGCGAGCGCTTTCCACTTCAATTGGTCGCCTTTATCACTCCTTCCACTGCACTCCGTTCTACTTGTACTTGCCCCCGTTGAAGTTACACTACGGGTACATTTTCAGCCTGAAGATCAGAAGTTGCAGCTTCCTGCTTCAAGTTTGGCAGATGTGGGACGCTTTCAGATACAAAGTCTCACCCGTACACGGTACTGCCCCCTCGGCTACTACTACTACTTGTATAACACAGCTCATCATCACCATCTCGAGGTATGTCCTCCATCACATGCCATACCGGCCAAACATCCCGTGCGGCCAAGCATTCTTGCGTGGGGAGAGTATGAGCCGCAAGGAAAGTTGAAGAAAGCAAGGACGGGAATTTACCGAAAGCCGGCCACGACGCTCCGAGTTGAGACGGAAGTGAGAGCCCGTCTGTCTTTCCAACGCCACGGGCTTGGCAAAAGCTTATGTTGTTTAGTGTGGTTGAAGGACCATGCAAAAAACTTTTGACTTTTGAGTATGGAGTATCCGTACGGGAACAACACCAAAAACGAACCACACGGCACGTATTGTATGTACACTAGGATCCCGGACGCTCCACGGAGACCGGATGTCGAATCTGTTTCCCGCGGAGGAGCCGCCAAGGATGCCACAGTCGCCTCTGGGCTCGATATATAAGGCGATGTTTCTCGCTAGGCCCTGTACGAACCTTGTACACATGTACGTGTCCGGCTGTTGGTGCAGGTTGTGTAACGCAGAGACGGGAATTCTTCCCGTCGACTTTCACTTTCAGCGAGTATCTCGACCACGTGTGGGTGGGATCCCCCGTGGAACGGTGGAAGGGATCTTGGGGGGAACAAGGGATCTCGGGTTCGAATTTTAGCGAGACATTGTTTCAGCACATCAAGCCTCACCGCGATCTCAACAAATCTCGGCCTCTTTTTTGTGGGATGGCTGCCAACATCTCCTTTTGGACACACGATGGACAGAAGACAACCCGGTGAGGACAAAGCCGGCCACGCTGGCTTGCCCCTCTGTTCAACCGTACCCCCACTCGAAGCCATGGAATCGAGAAAGTTCGGGATGGAGGGCGTGGGCTCGCACTTTGTGAAGCCTACGTTTAACAAATCTGCCGTGAAACCGGCGGCCTGTGGTCGTCCGGCATGGCGGCTGCTAATGGCGGGCTACGTATGAGGCTGCATTACCAATCCCGAGCGTCGGGAAACCAGGCGTTAGCTTACACACGAAGAGAGAGACCCTAATCGAGGGGGAGTGGGCACTCTGACCCGTCGCCACGAAAATGGGAGGAGAAAATTATATTGAGGCTCAAGGTAGGGTAAGCTTACCTGCCATACGCTCCATCGAGCCCTTGACCGCATCGGATATTCACAACGATGTGCCCAAACTAGTAGAAGTACACCAAACACCTTACACCACAGCGACCACACTACTGCACAGTAACGTTTTCCCCTGCTGAAACGCGGAAACGGATCCGAGATATGTATGTCTGTCCTACCGCCCTCAGCACACCGCTGACGGGTGTGAGAGTGCCAGGTCGACAGCTCGAGTCGACGAGTCGACATCTTAGTGGTCAATCGCATGTCTGCGCCGGGTTGATTCGGCTCCTCCTACTGTAGGTTGTTGGGCTTGGCATGCGACCAGATGCAGAGAAAGCTTGCTGCAAGTTGCTGGAGCCGTTTAGGGGGAGTGCAGACTGCAGCGACTTGGGAGCAGGAGAACAAGTAGGAAGCAAGGCCGAAAATGCCTCATAATGACGATTATAAATGGCAGGGCTGGTGGCGGTTGGCTTGCTGCCAGCTGCGCAACACCGACATGTAATGGATCGGCCTACTGCTGCCACTGAGTAGCGTGCGGACGCGGGCTTGCTGTAGTGTGCATATTCGAGTACATACCAAGGAGCAAGGGGGGTGGGCTGCCGCGGGCTCGCATATGCAATGCGGCCGGCTGGAGTAAGGTAGGAGGATGGGATGCAGTGTTCAGTAGTATCGAAGTGTCTTGCGTGCCTTCGCGATATGCAGCACGCACGGCTTGTTGGCTCCGTCGTGAGACCAATGGCCGAGGGTCAATTGCAAAGGCCAAATTGGTTCGGCGGTCAGCTCGTGATACCGTTCCACCTTACCAGGTGTTCTGTAATTATACGACTGTCAATTGTACTGCCCGAAGGAAAGATGAGACCGGCCAACTACAACGTTACTGTCGTCGTGTGGTGCAGTTTCTCTCTACCGGACCCTTCCGCCGGCTGGCCTCGGGGCCTGCTTCCGTGATCGACGGCCGTCCCCCGCATCTAAATGTTTCGGGAGGCCGCCAACACCGGCGCGGGAGCCCAGGATGGCACGCGCAAGCTGGTGGAATTAAAGCCTGTTGCCAAGCTTGCTGATCTGGTAAGAGCGTCCCTTCTGATGGAACATCAGAATGCCGGTGGATACATACTCCGTACGAAGTACGTGTACTGTACAGCACAGGTCCTTGCGGAGACATCTCTTCGTATCCAGTACGTGAAAGGAAAGTTTTGGGCTGTACACATGTATGGAGGAGTTGTAAATGCCTCCTTAGGGTAGTCAGATAGTAAGATATATAACGTAGTGTATGTACATTCCTTTTGCAATCTTCATGTTGTTGCACGACGGTGCTTGTGATGTTGGGAGGCTCTTTCTCTTCCAGGAACTCGTCGATGGTAATTGACGTTAAGAGAAACTCGCCGTATTTCAGTCCTGAGGGCTGTACTCCGTAGTGCAGTTACATACATATGTACTGCCCTAGATGGTCACCCACAGGCCAGAACAAGCGGACCTGGATGTGCTTGTTCGAGAGGTGTAAGGTTCGTTACATATATTACGCGCTATTACATGCGAGTTACCGGGATAAATAAACAGGAACCTGAACCAGTCTGACGGGCCGCTACACTTACACCACAGCAGCGAGCCAAAACAGGGAACTTCCTTGAGGCCAATCACGATGTCTTGATATGTTCAAGTACGGCTAAGGGATTGCACATGCTGCATGCAGCGTTCTGATAATATTGCATCCCTTTTGGTCCAGGATGAGGAGTCACTGTTGAGAAGTGTCCCTTTCTGCAGCGGATCCAGCATCCATGGATGCGCTGTAAGGTATTGAACTGTACTGTACATACGTACTGTACCTTCAGACCGCTGACCTCGGTACCGTCCCAGCGCCCGGCGTTCCACCGCTTCCCAAAGCCCCCAACCGATCGAGACAGCCACTAAGAGCCTCAAACACCAAGGAACCAAAAGCCACCGCAAATCGCCCAAAACTGACTTGGCATTTGAGTATGGCGTACTTGTACGTCGACGATGTTGCTCTTAGCTAGGAACCTAGGGTGAGGATAAAAGCTACAACTCGGCCAGTCTTTCCCCGAATGCTCAGATAAATGGGTCAGCCGGCGGCCAATTGCTGCATCTATTACATAAAGGGCTTATTGCGGGGATCGTGTGCGTTCGTTGTTTAAAGAACGACCGGTAGCTTACACGGTTGACTGCCAGCCGTTTCTTTTGCCACTGCCGTTCCAACGCCGGTGCCTTGATTCTGCCGCTGGCTTGGCTCGCTTGGTAACACTTCATACTTGTAACACAGCCCATCACCTTTGCCCATTCCACCGATGCGCTGACGTCGAGGAGACCCTTCATTGTAATCCTTACTCTGTCTACGAATTTGCTAGCGAGCGGCCAGTCACTGGCCGTCTGGCTCAGGCGGTCTGCAGCCCCAGGCCAAGCAGTAAGCGCCTCATCCAGTCTACGCCGATACCTGCCGAGACGTTCCTGTGCGCCGAATCAGGAAATAGTTTTGCGAGTAGTACAGTACAATACCAGGCTAGGAGGGCGGTGCGATTCCAAAATCTTCTTAACCACCTTCGTCATCCTTCCCTTTGCAAGAAACCCTCCTGGACAGTTTTTCGCCCCCCTCCGCTACACGGTAGACTCTTTCGCCTCAGCCATTCTTCAGCTTCACCATAGGGCAAGAACGGTTCGGTTCGCCTCGCGATTGGTACAAGCCAAAACCCTGAAAATCACTGGTCAACAACAGCTACTCAGAGCAAGCCGAAACTCATTCACTAAATACCCTTACGGAAGCTCCCTCTTTTCGCCATGTCGAACTTCCGCCTGACCACGCAGTCGTCTGCACTTCGCTGTCAATACTAGCAGCACCTGAACGCTCTGCTCGCCTCATCCGAGGGAAGACGAACAGGAAACCGTTGAAATCATAAGAACACACAACACAAAGAGCCCCTCTCTCGAGATCCTCCCAAGGTGCTCTTGAGTCCCACTTCCGACTCACCCCACTTGGTTCGTTCTCGACTTTCTGGGTTTTCTCGCTCCTAAGAGCAAAGTCAGTGCCCTCATTTTTGCAATTCATTGTTTTTTTTTATTTAGCCTTCTTTTTGTCTCTCACTCCCTATTCTTTTTCGTATAAGAAAAAAAAAAAAAAAACTTCTTCGTCTATTGCAGAGAAGACTAACTTGGCCGCCGACAAGACTTCTGCCGTTTTGCGATCAGCTAAGCAATATCTGGGCTTTGCCCATTCACACGAAGGCGGTTTCGCCTCTCACGATCGCTGTTTGCTCGCATAAGCGCAGCGTGAGGTCGCGACTCGCGTGCATCCATCACTTCGCGACCTTGCACCACGACCACCACCAGGCCCTCCCCTATCCACGACGAGTCAATCCTGCACTTTGACACGTTTCTGAGTTCGACTTCCCGCCCACTGAACATGCCAACTCCTGGAGGTTCCGACACGACGCCCTCTGAGCGCTCGTCGCAGCCACCCTCAATCAGGTCGCTTGAGGCCCCTTCAAAGTCCCCAAAGCTGCCCGGCCAGAATGGGCAAGCAACTGGGCCCGGCGACCAGGCAACGAGACCTGTCGACAAGGCCTCCATGAAGGACCGTTTGACACGCATGTTTTCGAACCGCGACGCATCCTCGCGTTCCGTGTCTACCGAGGCCATCCCGACCACTCAGGCTAAGAAACCCCAAGATGCAAACGCACCTTCGCCACCGCCCTCCAAGATGGCGAATGGAAAGGAACAGCACCTTCAGCGCTTCATGATAGTCCCCGAAGCCCAGGGCGGCCACGAACACCACTTGAAATCGAGTCGCCGGCAAGAGAAACTGTCCGATATGATCAAGGGGTTCCTTGGCAGGAAACCGGAGCAGGCACCCGAAAACGACCTCTCGTTGGTATCCAACTGGGTTGACAACCTGAGAAAAGAAAAGGACGGTCTGACGTCGGACAAGAAGGTCATGCCAAACCAGTCGGCAACCCTAGTGGAAAAGTACGGCAAATGCCAGGAGGTTGTGGGCCGGGGCGCCTTCGGCATTGTGAGGATCTCTCACAAAAAGCTGGAGAATGGCTTGGGCGAGAAGCTATATGCCGTCAAGGAGTTTCGCCGCCGCCCCGAGGAGACGGAGAAGAAGTACAGCAAGCGGCTGACGGCCGAATTCTGCATCTCCTCGTCCTTGCGACACCCCAACGTCATCCACACCCTGGACCTGCTTAAGGACTCCAAGGGCGATTACTGCGAGGTGATGGAGTTTTGCGCCGGTGGCGATTTGTACACCCTTGTGCTCTCGGCCGGCAAACTCGAAGTGCAAGAGGCCGACTGCTTCTTCAAGCAGATGATGCGCGGTGTCGAGTACATGCACGAGATGGGCGTTGCCCACCGCGATTTGAAACCCGAGAATCTGCTGCTGACGACGCACGGTGGGCTCAAAATCACCGATTTTGGCAATGGAGAGTGCTTCCGCATGGCTTGGGAGAACGACGCACACATGGTGTCGGGCCTGTGCGGGTCAGCCCCTTACATCGCGCCTGAGGAGTACACGGCCAAGGAGTTTGATGCCCGCGCCGTTGACGTCTGGGCCTGCGGTGTCATCTATATGGCCATGAGAACGGGCCGCCACTTGTGGCGTGTCGCGCGCAAAGAAGAGGACGAGTTCTATACTCGTTATCTCGAAGGTAGGAGAGACGAGGAAGGCTATGCCCCTATTGAGGCATTGCACAGGGTGAGTCTTAGCGCGTCTTCCAAGACCGTCGACCAAGGGTTGCTAACTGCCCCTATCAAGGCCCGCTGCAGAAACGTAATTTATTCCATACTGGATCCCAACCCGTCGAGGAGGATCACCGCGTCACAGGTGCTCAAGTCCGAATGGGGCCGGGAGATAAAACTGTGCAAAGCCGGCGAAGAGGGACTCTAACACATGCTCCGTCAGATGGATGGCTGATGCACACTTTTAGCATCATCCACTGTCTGGCGGACCTTTGGTGAATCATGTTGGACCTCAATACTTACCTGTCACGTTGCCAGGTGAAGTTCATGCGGTCCCTTCGAGACGCCACTAGCTGCTTGGTGTCCATCCTGCACCTCTACTTCTCCTGCTCCCTCGAATCTTGGCATGACGATGCCACTACGATATCCTACCACATCAAGAAGACAACATAGCAAGAGAGAGACGGACGGCGGCATATTATGAATGGAATGCCCTCAATTCGGCTAGCATTGGAGTTTTGGAGTTCTTGTTTTCTGTCTCCTTATGTATCTGCTTTTCATCAGACTAGGGGTTGGGGTGGCTTCCTGTCGTTTTATCCAATTCACATGACATTATCTGGGTATATTGGCTTATCTCTTACCCCTTCCCTCCTTGAGTCGGAAGGTGGGCGGCGGCGGCGGCTTCTGTTTTGGCTGGCTTACGCTATGGGAGACAAGGCAGACATTCGTTCTTATCGTTATTCTATCATCCTCGGCGGGGTCTTGGTGGTTGCCGGGGCCCGAGACGGCGGCGAATTCATTTCTTTTTGATAAAGAGAGGAGTTGCTTACAACCACTTACGTATTTTTACTATTACTACATTGGGCGGATCGACTGATTACTTTTCTGGTTACCACATAGGAAGATACCTACCTCGTTGCTGCATAGTTGGGTATGTGAGGTTAGGGCTGGCTAAGCCAGGGTTGGTTGATACTTATCGGATGGATCAGTGGGCAGGCAGTGGAGAGGGTGGTTCCGGTTTGACGATGCTCTCTGCCCTGCCCTGCCCTGCCTCTTTGTTCAACGCTCCCTTTTCTCCCTCGCTCGCTGCCGAGGTCTCCTTGCCACGCTCTTTCATCCGTCCTGCAAAGTTGAGTGCGGTGTGCGGTGCGTGGTAAGATGTTGCATGCGTGCACACATATCATACAATGGCCCAGCTATCTCATATATATAGCTGGTTCCAGGGGAAATGTGTGGAGCGAGCCGTGGGTGGGTGGTTCTGGTTTCTTGTGCCGCCGACGCCTTTTACCGCTGTTTTCTTCTGGTGTGCCGGGGAACAAGTACAGCTCGCTCCTATTCCGTCCCTGCGCGATATTGGCGGTTCTCTCTCTTTCTCGGTCCGTAGCTACAGCTGCGGTTGGAGATTGAGGGTTCTGGTTGGAGGTTTGGATTGAGACCGTCTAGCTTGCTCGCCGCTTACCCCGCGCCGCCTGGGCCGTGGGAACAAAGCTTTGCTGGGACTGCATTGTGAAGGAGTCCGTGGTTGGATTTGAGAGTTGGGGCCCGGATGGAGAGGGCGATGGAAGGGGGGAAACAGTTACCCCTTCCTTGGATAGGCGGTCTGGACGCCCCGCACCGGTCCGGTCCGGTCCAGCATGGGACTTCTGTCAGCGTCTTACGCGAGGGGGCCAACTGAGGCTGCAAGGGTGTGACGGGTATTTCATAATGTAATGACGACGAACGATTTTATGACGAGTCGGAAAGGGACAGGAGGCAAGACTGCTACTTTGCTGATCTCGTTTTGCGAAACAGGTGGTTGGCATCTACACGGTGGAGAGGATTGCTCTGATTTTTGTCTACCCCTTTTTTTGCTCCTTGTCTACTTGCGATCATGTCGGGGAGATTAGGTGGTTTGGGTGGCTTTTTGTGTCATCTTGTGCTTTTTTTTGCTATCATGAGGCTACCTGCATTGCTGGTCTGGCGGCGGTGTCTTTTGCTAGCATGCTGTTTGGCCAGGGCTATATAAACGTGGCGAGGCCAAGCTTGCTTCAGTTTCGGGCGAGTGTATGGAGGTCATCTGGAGGCCGTGAGGCTGCTGTCTAGTTCGATGAAGACTCTAGAGCTGGGGTGGAATTTGTGAGTTTGAAAGAAGTTAGAGGTGAAGGGGAGAGAGAGAGAGGATAGAAGAGATACACAATTTGGTGCGAGTCATGGTTATGAGCCCGTCAACCCAGCCTAGGCAAATACGAGGTATATAGTTGCATACTAGTCAATGATGCAGTTGATTACTGGCAAGCGAACCCGAACAGTGCATGGCTTGGAATTCCATGTAGCCTGATTCAGGATTCCTCCCGCTAGGTACAGGATTGTTGATCATTACTGTGAGGCAAGGAAGAGGGGGCGACACAGTTAAGATTGGTGATGCCGCTTCGTGCCCTAACCAAGACTTGGTAGAAAGTTCCGTAAGGGATGAAGCAAGTGTTGCTTCCATGAACTCCCTGGAGCTTTGGTGTAAGCCCCCTGAAGGCGCTGCCTATCTGTCGTAGATGGATGCTCGTCCTCCCGCTGCCGTGTGACTTGACTGTGTCTCGGGATTCGTAGTGGCGCACCATTTGATGCTGTGCTCGAGTATTCGACATACGTCATGTACTCTGTGCTCGGCGAGATGTGGATTGCCTCTGTGAGATGTGAGCGTCGTTTGTTGGAGGGACGACATGACTTGAAGTCCAAGTATTCTTCTTCTCCGTCAACTTTCCAATCTTGTGAGATGCCGCGCCTATGTTGTCCTGTGACATGATGCGGTCTCGATTGGATCTTAAGGATATTTAAGACTGGTTGAATAGAGACGTAAGAGACAGGGTTCAGTTCTGGTTTGACTTGCCTTCTGTTCATAGCGGTCATCCTCTCTCACTCCCAGCACATGTCTGCGGAGGCTGTTCTGGGCTGCGAAATCCCTTCAAGGGCAACACCAGGCCACTAGCAGGCTGAGAGTTGGGTGAGGCTGTCAAGGCTAGGCATTGAGTGCGGACAGGTAGCGATGCTGTGTGAGAGGTCAAACATGTTCACCTACTGCAAGCCACTTACTATATATTGTACTCGTAATGGCTGTGTGGAATGGCTGTGTGGAATAGGGGCGAGACTGACGTTGACCAAGCATTTCAGCAATGAAGGGTCACGGCTGCAGTCCACCACTTCAGATATGTATATCATCCAAAAATGTAGTATATACCAGAGCAGTTCATGTACTGGTACGAATCACGACCATCCTTTTCGTTCCCAGTGTCATACCTTCCGTGGGCAAGGAAGAAGTGAATTCCAAGTGAAAGGCATGATAATATCCATACCTTTTTCCATCTCACATACTAGTCCTACCCGCTATCCCTTCCACCTTCATTGCAAGGCCCATACTTGGCTTGGCTGGATTACTTTTGAACTTCCCAGGCGATCTCGAATAATCAATTAGAGCCACGAAACCACTGGACCCAAGAGAGAAGAAGCAGCTACAGACGGATCACAAACTCCAAGAACACCCGTCGAGATAACGAGAATCAGACATCGTCCCCCCTGGCTGCCACACTCTCCTCATCATTTCATCTTCATCCGGCCGTCTACCAAGCCTGTCATCCTCTGGACGCCAACTGCAGCTGGGAGAGAAGCCATATAGCAGCATGGACGTACAACTCCCATCAACCCCCCGCCCCCCCTACCTGCCAACCTCAGCCTGCTAGGAGAAGCCCAGTTCATGGGAGCGAGCCCATGCACACAGACTAACACACGCATACACACAAACACACAAGTGACAGTAGAGGAAAGGAGCCAGCAAGAGACGATGGAGATTCACACACACACACACCATGTACACACTCACACTCCTGCTCACCAACTTTAGAATAAGAATAACCCCCCCCCCCCCCAAAACCCATCACTAGACCTCGTAGCGACATATTTATACGGCCCAATCCTTCCTTCCTACCCACCCACCAGACCAGACCAGATCAGCAGTAGGTACACTACATTCAAGGGACCTCACCAAGCCAACCCAACCCAACCCCGCCGTCTCAGAATACCATGTCAAGGTATCAACAATAAACTTGATCATAATCAACCCATCTTGGGATCATCTGTCCTGTCTGTCTTTCAGAAAGTAATAGTATAGGAAACACCAAAACCAAAAAGGTAAGAAGAGATCCAGCCCATCCATGAAACCTAAGAGGAGGAAGAGAGAAGAAGATAGAATATCCAATTGAGGAGGAGGCGGAAAAAGGGATGTGTTGGTGAAAGAATAATTGCCGGTTATACAGCCGTCAAGGATCGAAACGTGATGGTGGCTGTGGGGAGAAAAGGGAAATAAAGAGGGGAAAAAGATCATGAGCGAAGCAAATCCCAAAGCTCCCCGCATAACCTAATAAACGTTTCCCTCTTATTCGCTTCGTGCGCCGAATCGGGGCTGTCCCTGCTGTCTCTCCCGCCTAAGACTCCCTCGCCAAACATCATTGTCCGCCTTACCCCGGCGGGCCGGCCGTTGCCCAGTGGGGGGCTGCCACCCTCTTCGTATTCGTGGCGTCTCCGCTTCATTGACGACGACGATGATGGCGGCGGCGGCGGTTGAGTATTATTGGTTTGGTGGTGTGGGTGGTGGTGGTGGTTAAGGTGGTTGCTGTTGTTGTTGTTGCTGCTGCTCGCGCTTCGGCTGGTGGCCGTAGCCGCGTGGTCAGCGAGTGGTCTGTGGTCACGATGATGGTCCCGGGGGAAGCCACCACCGCCGCCGCCGCCGCCGCCCCCGTGGTGTGGAGGCGATGGCGGAGTTGGGGGTTGATGGTGCCCGCCGTAGCGTACTAACTTTGGTAGGAGCTCCGGTCTGCCGCCCGCCAGCTCTACTTGTGCCTCCTCGGCCGACTTGTACTCCCTAGGCCTGCCCGGAGTCGGTGCCTGGTGGGCAGGCGCCTGGTGGGGTGGTGCTGGCGGGTGGTGCGGGGATGCCAGGGGGCCGCGGTTTTGGCCGGGATAGAGGCCGTGGCCGCTCGAATCGGGGTGTCCTGAGAGATTCTGCCCAAAGACGTCGGCGATCGGGGGCAGGCGGTTGTTTGTCTGTGTCGCGGGTACGTGGTGAATGTGCGACGTGTTGGAGAGTTTTGAGGGTTGATTGGTAATGTGGCGCGTAAGAGGGTGCGGGTTGTGCATGCCCGTAAACGTCTGACCTAGCGGCGCGGACTGGATTACCCTTTCGTTGGCAAAGTGCTCATGCGGGGGTGCGATAATGCTCAGACCGGGCGGCGCGCCGCGCTTACGGGCGAGGCCGGGCGTTTTCGCGGCAAAGTGGCTTCCGTCCTTGTCCTTATTAGGGCCGTCGCCCTTGGCTGATTGCTGCTGTAACCTCGCCTCAATGATCTGCCGCTGCTGCTCCCTGACATTCATGCTGCGCTGCACATTTGCGTTCATGACGGGATCTTGCGTGACGAAGCCTGGCGACAAGCACGCAAGGCCAACCTCTTGAATCCCTAGTCCCTCTCGTGCCGTCAATGGTCGCCCGGTTGCCGGGGACACAATGTTTGAGTCCTTGGAGAGATCGAGCTTCTTCGGTCTGTGTCTGGTTGTGGGCAAATCGGGAGACCCGGGTTCTTTTTTGACCACAATTTTGGGACCTCCGGCGTTTCGAGATCTGTGCGCCATTGAAACAGGCAGGTTAGTCCACGCAAATCGGGGTTTTCATATATACCATGAGATTGCTTACGCGCTGGGAGGCGATGATTTGTGGGCATTCGAACCCGCAGTGGTCCCTCTCGGGCTGGCACTGTCAGAACGTGTTGGTGGCGCCGCTGCATTCTGTGTTGCCGAGGCAGTTGGTGGAGGCGGGGGAATCGCGGCGGCGGACCTCTGGGCGGTTGGTGATGATGATGTCGGAGGAGCACTTTCAAGGCCAAACGAAGGCCTGTCATGCGGAGCCGGCGAAGGGGCCATCGCAACCGCGGTGGTCATGATTGATGTGCGGGCGTGAAGATGTTGCGTAGAGAAAAAAGTGTCTGAAAAGAGACCGAATAGGAATCGGTCAGATTACCCCCTCCAAGAAATGACCGGGGTGCGGGCCTGCCAGGATCAGGAGGCTGGATGCGCTCGTGTACGGATCGAGGAAGCGAGGCGCGGCAGAGCAGTAAGGGGGTCGTGGGACGAAGCCACGCAAAAACCTGAAGCTTTTCTGCTGTTGTAATTATCCCTCTCTTTCGTCCGAGGAGACTTGACAAGCAGGTTCGGCAGTGTTGAATAAGGGCTTTCAACGCAAAAGCGAGAGCGTTCGAGTAGCCCAAACCTGCTGAGACGATCTGCGTGGGAGTCTGCGTGTCCACGGGTGTGTGTGATGATTAATTGTGATATTATTTCTGGCTGACTTGGGAACAATAGTTTCGAGGCTGGTACCGTAGTAATCTGGGCGCTTCCAACAGAGATGTGGACTGGTGGGCAACGCAGCGCTCTAACAGTGACAAGTGCAACGGCGCAGCGCAGCGCAGCTCTGTCTCCGAGACTATGTCCTGCAGCAACGTTGCACCTGTTTTTTTTTGGCAACGCAATCCAAAAAACCACGTCTTCGTTGGCGAGAGACGCTGCTGTAATTAATTTCCTTGCTGGATTCGGCTATATCGTCGCCGTCGCCGTCGCCGTCGCTGTATGCCTTGATATCGATCAATTGGATCTAAGACGGTCCCAGAAGACGGTCCCTGGCGGATGGTGTCTGTGCCCACGTCACTGGGATTAGTTGCGGAGCTAAAGTCGTCAAAAACCGCGTGTCACTGGAATAGCGTCTATTTTAACCGCCAGGAACGGTGTGCCGGGCCGTTGGCGTCGGGTTGGCGAAGGTGATGGCCGCGACGGGAGCACGTGCAGAGACAGCAGACCAAATAATCACTCGGAACTGCGCTCAGGTTGGAAAAAGGCAAACGAGACTCGAACGAGAGACGAGAGCACCAGAGCGGCCGAGGAGAGATAATAAAGAGAGGGAAGGGGCGGCCTGGATGGGATGAAAATGTCCCGAATGAGGGGCTCCACTACTTCATTAGGGGCAAGCTGTCTGTGAGACAGCGGCTGGAGGTTTTTAGGGAGTGCAAACTGCGAAAAGGGGGCGCGCTTTTTCACCAGCAGCACCCTGGCTCTCCCGAGCGGCGATAGTGTTATAAAAGGGGGACAAGACGCTGGAAAAACACTGATGCAAGTCTTGTGTGAGGTCCCCGGCGACCAGTCACAAGGTGTCTGGTGTAAGATCGAGCTGGACGACTGGTTCCAGTGTTTGAGGTTAGGTATCGTGGGGCATCAGGTGGAGGCCCTTCTAGCTGGAGTCAGAAGCTTGGCCGGGGACCGCCTCTTCTGCTCGCTTGTCCGTGAGTCCTGTCTGTCGTCGTGTCTGGCGATGCCCCTCGATTCCATTGCTCCGTCGATTACACGTAACTAGCATACGGCATTTCATACCGCTGGTTAATCCATTGGGCTGATGTCGTGTTCGCTGTGCCCTGCGGCGCTGACGGTCGCTGGGACCAGCCACGCTCCCCATATTTTACTTCATGTCCCAGAAGGGGTTGCAAAGACTTCCCGGAAAGGCATCATATTCTTGGGACGTTTTGGATTGAGGGGGCCGGTCACTGCGATTGGCAGAAGTCTGAAATCCGCCGTTTCTCCAACCCCGGCCTGCTTGGCTCCTGCAGCCTCCCGGCAGACGCCTGAAACTCGTCTGTGCTGCCACAAGGGGTGCCTGGAGCTCTGGCTAATCGGCCTAGCATCTGACTGGTGGTGAGAGCCCAACTTGGACACAAGCTCCAACCACCACATACTTGTTGCAGCAAACATGTCGCGATGCCGTTGTGCTTTTTGGGCTGGAGAATTCGCGGCTGCTAGATGGCATTCGAGATACCACACAGCGAGTCGGTTGCCTGGCAAATGCCTCGCCCGTCGCCCGTGCCTGACGGCGGCAATCAACGAAGGGGGAAATTCTGCAATCCAGCTGAGACACGGTCCAAGAATTTGCAGGTTGCTCGTTGATTATAATACGGAGGTATGTGCAATCTTCTTCCCGCTTCATCGGAGCTTGTAAGCGTAGCCCTGGTGTCCCACATCACCAGTGCCGAACCACGGCCACCGCAACCATCCAGCATGCGATATACTGTAAGTGCGGGCATTAATAAGCCTTGATGTTTCGGAATCCCAGCCATTGTTAGAATGTATCTGGGAGGATGATTCGGTATTTACCGTGTCCCCGGGACTTCGATTCGCCGAATCTCCTTGATCTTGGTTCCGAGTAGAATAGAATACTCGGTGCTGATTGTCAGCAGAAATCCCAAAGGGGGTTACAAAGGGCCAACGAAACATGTCCTTGACTCACCTAACGTTACTTTGTAGAACTAGGTACTCGAGTCAGTTTTCGGTTGATCTCGTATTTCTCTTTCCGGTCTCAGTTGACTCCCTTAAACGTCGTGTATTTAAGAGGTCATGAGTCCATGACATGACAGGGTTACATGAGCACGGGCAGTGCCGTCGTGCAATTTATTGATGAGTTGCATCTGGCCAATGTCAACCTGGCTTGATGAATGGTTCTGGATGTCTTTGACGACTGTTGCTAGCGGGATCCGTATTGAGGCTGCTGTAGGCAGCCAGTCCAATCAGGCGGCCTGCTGGGTTTGGCGGTTGGGCCGCCTGAGACAGACGGTGAACCAAGAGTTGAAGGTGGCCGATAATTTAGTTGGCCCGTTCTATCCGTCACCATCCTTATCTCAACGGAAGAAATAAAATCTTAACTGGGCAGCGCGATCGTCATCATCTGGGCGTTGAACGACGAAAGGGAACGTACGGATATACCTTTTAAGGATACCAAGCGCTCCATTCACATGCGCTCAGCGTCGCTTATAACTCGAAGTGGGGGCACGCTCCCAGGTTGGTCTGGCTTGCGAACAAGCAGGAGCGTCCACGACGGAGACGGGAGACGTTCATCTTGAAAACAGTTAACTGTGATCAAGCTGCCGTTGATAGCTACCCGCGCGCTGAGAGATCCTCAGGCTGCTGCCGACACAGTGTATGTCCATCGCTCCGGAAAGCATGTGGTGATGAATGTGACATTACTACTCGACTTTAACAAGATCGTTCGCAAACATAATGGACGGAGATACTCCGTACCGGTACTGTACCGATGACCGAGGAAGACGTCCGATGGCGCCGCTGAATCGCTGATGGCTCGGCGTATGTTGCACGTTACAGGCGCTGTAGAAAGCGAGCACCCGCATCGCCGGTTCAAGAGTAAAACCTTGCGGCTTTCACGAAATAGTGCTGCCGACAAACTACGAGTTCGATTCCGGATGGGATTCTTCAGTTGTCCCGGTGTTAGGGACCGGTTTGCTTCCTGAGAAGTCGCAGTTTAGTCCGAGCCCGAACCCGGCAGGGTGGCGGGTACCCGGGTACAGTGCTTAGTGTACAGTACGGTAGTGGGACGCGGATGAGTGTCCGTGTTCAATGCCCCAATAAAATTTTCGGGGTCTCAGGGACCTCAAACTCATTCCAAGCAGCAAGGCGGAATCCACTCACCCAATTTGAGAAGACGCATCACCAGCGCAGACAGAATATTATTGAATAAAAAATGCCGACCAGATCCAAGGCGAGGAAAGAGGAGCCCGCTGAGGCCGGGTCCGACATTGTCATGGAGGAGGCGCCGACTTCTCACCAGCCCGAGAGCAAGGACGATGATATGTCCGTGGACCAGGACGGGAATGAGGAGGTAGAAGAGGCCGAAGACGACGAGTTTGAAGAGGAGGAGGAGGTCCAAAGAGTCAAATTGGTGTGTGAAAAGCCTCAACGACTGGAATGAGAGATGGCCGCAATTCTAACCGAAAGCTCACCAGTTACCTGGCTCAACACCAACCGCCGCATCGTTTGAGTTTCTCAACGAGGGCCATACTCTTGGGAACGCCTTGAGATATGTCATCAACAGGAAGTGAGTTTAAAACTCTGCCCTACACCGTCCAACTCACTAACATCCTGGCCTCTTTAGTCCTGAGGTTGAGTTCTGCGCATATGCAATTCCACATCCCTCGGAGCCAAAAATGACCGTAAGGATTCAGACATTCGGTGAGTGCATGTTTCCGCTCAGAAACGCGTGTGAATGCATGCAAGCTGACACTGCATAGAAGGCACAACGGCAATTGAGGCGCTGGAAAAGGGGCTTCGAGACCTACAAGATCTCTGTGACGTCGTGACAGACAAGTTCATCGAGGCCCGCGAACGCTTCTCAGCAGGTGCATCTTCGTAGCTTCTTTGCTGTTTGGACCCGAAGAGGATGGCGTTTCCGGCGTTGGGTTATGCATTGATCAGGACTCGGAGAATTGGGGCTTGCGGCGGTCGCCTTTTGGACGTTTAGACGATTTTTACTACCTGTATGTACATCCGGACAAAAAAGAGTATAATTCTTGTTCAGTTGCGACCCTAGACGTGGCTTGTAAGCAGCGGTTCAGGAGGGCGGAGTGATACAGCCGTTACCTCTAGGAATCCAGTTATGAAATTTGACGGCAGTCGCTTCTCCCCCCTGAAGTTCTCCTCCTTGAAAAAGGACATTATATGGTTTGTTTGACGCCAGAAATTCATAGTTTCCTGTAACGACAAAGCATCAGCCAAGTGGTTCCATATGGTTTACCAACCCAACCTTCATAAAAACCTCCTCAGGACAAGCTGCATCAGCCAGCAAGTACCCTCCGCATTATCCCTTCCTATTCGCGGAGCATCTTACTTGATAATCGGCATTGTTCTGAAGGAGGAGAACGTCCACCACTGGCAACTTGTTGACGAATCGATGGCGCTCAAACTCTTGCCGTATGCGGGAGCGGATAGCCGAAACTGGATGTGGAATCGAGTACATGGTCTGAATCTCCGGCGCCTGGGCGGTCAGGTAGTCAGCTCGGTGGCCGGACACAAGCCTTCCAGTCTGTTCTTTGCTATTTGCCACATACTGCCCGGAGCCAATCTCGATATGCCGCAAGTACTCGCCGCTTCGCGTCGGACCAATTGGCCGCTGCTGCCAGTCAGAAGGCAATCAAGACGCAGTCAAGTTTCTACTAAAAACTCACACTGCCGCGTGGTGACGGCGAATTGGGTTGGTGAAATCGCCATGGCGGCCAGGTTCGTCGTTGGCGTCCTGTCGGTTGGTTGGGGTTGGAGGTTGCGACACTGCCTTGAACTGGACCACTGATTCAATTCCAGAAGCTTGGACCGCCTTGGCCGTTCATGAACGGCACCACAGCTCAGTGGTATGCTTAGTCATCGATATTGTGACTTCCACCACGCTGGATCGCCCCCCTGGAACCTGGACTCATCTTTGAACCGTCACCAAACCCAACTCGGTGTGCTGCTTGCGACGCCTCAAAAAGAAAAACACCGGCTTGCAATCTCGGAGCGTGCCCAGAGCAACGAGCAGAATAAGGATTAAGCTTCAGGGAAGAATTGAACAGGAGAAAGGAACGAAAATGCCAGCCATCCGCCCATCCTCCAAGCGCAAGCCCCCGCCGGACGGCTTCAGCGACATCGAGGAGGACCTGCTGATCTTCAGCAACAAGATGAAGGACGCGCAGAGCACGCCCACCGATAACATACCCAAGCACCAGGCGCAGTGGCCCATCTTCCAGATCGCCCACCAGCGCAGCCGCTACGTGTACGAGCTGTACTACGAGAAGGAGGCCATCAGCAAGCAACTGTACGAGTGGCTGCTCAAGAACGGCTACGCCGACGCCATGCTCATCGCCAAGTGGAAGAAGCAGGGCTACGAGAAGCTCTGCTGCCTGCGCTGCATCCAGACCAAGGAGACGAATTTCAACTCGACGTGCATCTGCCGCGTGCCCCGCGCGCAGCTCAAGGAGGACCAGGAGATCCAGTGTGTTAGCTGCGGGTGCAGGGGCTGCGCTTCGACGGACTGATTCGGGTGCTCTTTATTTTTGAGGGGCAGATGCGGACTTCGACTCCAGAACTTCAGTGATACCAATGGGATCCATTCTATTTCCGGGCGGATAGAGGACAAGGCTTTTGATGAGAGATTGTAAGAGTCGTTTACCTGCCATGCTGGCATTCCCTACATAGCACTTACCAGCTCTAGGGACGGTACAATGATGGGAACTGACGAGACTGTTTTGGTTGTGGATTTGTGGCCGCGAAACAATTGACACTCGAGAAGCATACGCTATTCGACTCCTTTTTCCATTTATTGACGTCCGGTTCTTGGTGTGGTATACCATGCTCATGCAACTGCCCAACCGAAGGATCCATACGCCAAGATAAAGAGCTACCGTTTGGAGAAGCCAGTCTTTTTCCCACGCCCGAACCGGACACTGGTCGGCACGAACTTGAGCGCTGATATTGCGTTTGAGAGGTCTTCCATCTCCTGGTCTGGCTGCTGGTCTGGGCTTTCCCGGCCCAGGCTTGGTCCCAGATGGGTATCCATCAGTTCTACATATCCCTCTACAGGAGAGGGGACCTGGCCATTTCGTGGGACGGAGTCCTCTGGCTTTGGTGGTGTAGTGGGACTCGATCTCCTAGGACGCCGGCCGCCTTCCAGCAGAAGAGACAGTCGCCCATCGATGCCATCCCTCGTCACTGCGAAGAAGTAATTCTTCGGATACATGTGCTTATCCACAAGGTGCATCTTGCGTTTCTGCGGCGTGCTGCATTTCTTCTCGCAGCCCTCTACGAAGCATGAGTACTGGGACAGTGTCGGAAGTCAGTCGGATGGCTAGCACTCAGTGTAGGAAATCTGGGGGTTTTACCGTACGCTCTCCTCTCTCTCTTCTTACCAGGACGAGGGAGTCATGCGTCTCTTCAATGTGTAAACTGAGGAGGTGAGCCGAGGGAAAGTTTTTGCGACATTCAACGCATCGGTTGGTATGCTGGTCCCTATAATGCGTCTCGTATTCCCCGTACGACGAGAACACCAGACTCTCCTTGTGCGGCGGCAGCGAGCAGCGCATCCGGACACCGCCATGGTCGGACAGGTCAAGCTCAGTTATCTTGGCGGCACGCGACAACGTGTTGCCGTCGTCTCGGTTGATTGGTTTCAGTCCGCCATGGTCGGTCCCAACGGTTGTAGCCGTGTTGCGGATGGCTGATGCCTTTTCTTCGGGCGATGCTTCTTCGACTTCGCGTAAGCGTTTCATTTCCGCAGGCTTCAGAATCTAAAGTGGACAGAAATCGAGACTTTGGGCGAGAAGTTACATTCCAGTGTTTCAGATCCTCCTTATGTGAGCTTTCGGTCAAGCGCATGAGGCCCTGAGGCAAGGTTCGGTCCTTGCAGGTTCCCGGTGCGACTGCACCCACCTGTTTGTGGCGGACCAGACTTCGTTGTGATGTTTTGAACAATTGTTCCAAGTCGTCGCTGCAAGTCGGGAAGCCTGGATTGGGCATGAAACAACGACTCAGACCACCGGCAAGTGCTATGATGTGATGATGTGACGATGTGATGATCAGCGGGATCGAGCTTGGGTTTGCACGGACCACAGTCACCCGGCGCTCCGGGAAGGCAGTGACTCAATCAGTGGGAGACCACCGATGAGTCGATGACTGGGTACTGTACTCTAGTTAGTGTAGCACTGTAGTTATAGGCATTTGTCACTGATTGGCTCTTCTCTAGGGGACGTGCAGGGGACCATTGCGGGCCAAGCAGGTTGTATGTAAATCCCTTCCATCTTTTCAACGTTTCTTGCATTTCGTTCCGCAACTCTGGTCACATACCTTTTGCCCACGGGACCTGACACCGGTTCTTGCTAAGCTTGGTTCAAACCTCATTTTATTTTCTCCTTCCAATGCGCTCATTACTGACCGACAAACCGCTAGCCGCAGACCGCAGCACTCCTCCAGCTCCTCGCAGACTCGCCGAAGAGAGCCAGTCAAGTTATGGACCGCTCGCAAACCCACGGTCATCGCACAACTTTGAGTGAGCCTCGGCCGTGAGCCCCGGCTCTTCCAATTCGGGATTTCTACTACATATTTTCAACAGTCCAAACTCTGCGCTGGTCTGTCACTGCAGCTTGCGTGGCAAGGGCTGCCTGCCATGGCCGCGACAGCCTCAACCGCGGCGATACCGTCGACGGACGATATATGGAAGGCCGCGCAAAAGCTGCGTGCCACTATTCATAAGGAGCTTGAGCACATTCAAAGCGATGGCCCAGGTACGAACGAGGTGGCCCGCTTCGAGAAGGTTGAGAAATTGATGGAGAACTACCGCCTCGCTTGTATCGAAACCATCTGGCCCGACATGCGTGCGGCGAAGGAAAAGTCGGTCGAGGATGCACTCTGGCAGACCCACGCCCACGTCACCAAGGCGTATCGGAAAGTGCTTGCAAAACTGCAGGGCCACGACCATGCCGTGCTCAGACGGAAGCTCGAGAGGCACTATGCGTCTTATCTGAAGACGGCGCAGTATTTCTACAGGGGTTATTTGCAGCGAGTTTGTGCCCGCTACAGTATGAAGGATCTCACGCGAATCGTGCGCAAGGCTGAGCTCCAGGAGATGCCTGTGCCTGATAGCGACAAGGTCGATGCCGCAGCAGCAAAGCTCGACGAGATTGTCAAGGACTCGTGCCACAAGACCCTCATTTACCTCGGGGACCTAGCAAGATATCGCACCCTTCTGCGCCCAAAGGACCGCAAGTGGGAGGGCGCGTTGGCCTACTATTTACTAGCTAACGACCTGAGGCCTGAATCTGGATACGGCCATCATCAGTGCGCAGTGATCTATCTCGAGACGGAGGACCATCTCCAGATTGTCTACCATTTCTACCGCGCCATGGCCTGCGATGTGCCTCACCCAAACGCTGCAGCGAACCTGGAGCGCGAGTTCCGCGAACTTCAGAAGCGGAAAGGCGGTGAGATCAAGCATGCTCTTGTCACCTGGTTTGTCAAGCTTCATGCCTTCTATTCACAGGGCAAGGAGTTCACCGAACGTAAGGAGCTGGAGACCGAGGTCTACCATCGTCTCACCACGGCCATGAAGACAGGAACAGGTGTTGAGGAGACGGACTTGCTAAAGATAGTCCTCATCAACATCACTGCCTATGTCGTCAGCCAAGAGAAGGTTCGCGGTAAGGAGACTACGCGTTCAGTTCATGGTTCATGGCGCCTTACTGACTACGCTCAGCAAAATGGACAGAGGAGGGTTCCCGTTCGTGCCAGTTCATCTTGCTTCTGAACATTCGAACGATCCAGATGATATCGCAGCTGCTAGTAGATGAGATTGCGGGTCTGATCCAGCTCAGAGCCCCGGACTCTGATATAGGAGAGGCAGCCCGGAAAGATGTTGCAGGCAGTTTCACGCCCGCTTTCACCCGCCTGATGCCGCTTCTACGCGTTTATATGGCTTGGCTCTGCACTTACGGGTCAGAGTTAGTGGACTTTCGGGGCCATCTGGAACCGCACTTCGGCTCTATGTGTGTTACACTGAGCAACACCTTGAACCTCTTGCTGGAATTCTTGGGGAGCGGCACATTCGGAACCACAGTGCCCTGGCGGTTTCCGGAAGATGAGATGACTCTGAGTTTGAAATGCTTGAATGGCCCTCATCTCCATGATGGCTGTCAGCTATACTACGACGCTTTCACACACCAACCCAAGCCCCGACCCGAGGACGTCCCTGATGCTGTGGCTAGCGCTACAGCTGATGATATCACGTTCACCCGCGCATTGGATGTTGTTCTATGCGCCTTTGACTTGTCAAGCGCAGAGTCGAAGTTCCCATTCACGACTTCCAAGACTACCAAAGGTTCACGGGAACAGACGACGATCGTATATCTGGAAAATGGAAAACCGCAGCCCGCTCTTGTCGTGCCATCGCCGTTGCCTACCAGCTTCAAAGGGCAATCCAGCAACATACCCACAGCTCCCAGTCTATACGAGTCTAACGCACTCTCTGAGAACATGGAGTTTTATGGGCCGGGTATAGGAAGGAAGGGAAGTGATACACGAAAGTCACGTATAGCAGCCGCTGCTCCAGTGCAACCAGCTCCTGCCGCAGAGTTTCCAATTGATAAGCAGCTTTTTCAGATCCTCAACGATTTTCTATCTCCTCCAGAATCTGCCCCAACCGCTGAAACCGAAAGGCCGACTAGGCGCGTTGCTGATCTGAACCTCACGAGGGGTGGAGAAGGCTCCGGGGTTGCAGCCTCAGCCAACTCGGCGCCTGGGTCAGCGGGTACAAAGACATTCCCGACTCTCCCTTGGAACTACTTTTACACCCCGGCACCTGTCGACCCGCTGCTCCGGAAGTCAAGCGTGAGCCGCACAAATTCTGGCTGGACTGAGGACGGCTCTGCGTCTCCACGACCGGCAAGCTCAAGCGGCGCAGCTCAACCTCAAGGCGGAAGAATCTCTGGTAGCCCTCTTGCGCTCCAGGCGCAAGGCCGGTACACTACCCTAGCTTCAACGGAGCATAAAGAGGGCGAGACAGCACCGCTTCCGTCCTTGGCCCGCGGGACACAAAAGGACTACATGGACCTGCAGCGAGACCGTGCCGCTGGGCTTTGGCAGTGGGATAACGGAGATTTGACGAGCAAAGCAACGGCACCAAATCAGTTGCAATACAATCCCTGGCCTCTGTCAACTTCCGATCAGTGGCACACTAGTCAGAGTTCGGATTCCGGCCTTGGTCGTGTCCCCGCCTCGCCCTTTTCAACCCTGCACTTCTCTGAGAATTCGTCAAGCCTGCCGCCAGTGAACAGCCCTCTGGGTATACCATCACGCGCGGCGCAAAGTTTTGTTCCCCACGTGCCGGTATCTCCAGCAGCACCTTTTCAATCTCCACGGTCTTCCGAACGTCTCTTGACCAACACCCGCCCTGGCGACACTGTGCCCCCGGGCTCTGCACGCCAGTATCAGCATGCTACTGCTGAGAGTGTCCTGGCCGAGTTGTACGCCCAACAGCAAGCTCTCTTAAACCCCGCTTCCATGCCGACATTTGGCCGAGACGGCCGGTCGCTTGCGGGTGGAAGCAGAGCAGGGGAAGACCGGATCAAGCCGATCCAGAGGCCGATCGCAGGCCTCGACGACAAGGTGGATGGGAAAAAGCCGGCAATGCCGACTCTACCCAGGCGTTAATATACCCGCGTCTTTTCACCGGCTAGGCCGGAGTGTGTGTTTTGACGCCCATTGGCCGTAGCATGCTTCGCATCGCAATTGGACAGGTGCTTTGGTCTGGGTGGCGGTGTCCTGGAGGCTGCTGAAGAAGATGACGACCTTGCCGTCCTGGCCTTCGGCACGCGCCCGTCAAGAATAGCCATGTAACCGCACACGCTGGAGCAGCCGGCAGGCTTGATATTCTAGCGCACGGACTCAGCGAGTAACTCCAGGGGAAAGTCACTGCGTTTTCGGCCGTTCAAACCAGAACACTGTGCGAAAGCTCTCAGTTCTCAATGGATTGACTGGTGCCCCCGCGTGGACACGGCATCGCTCGCCCGAGTCTCTATACGGCCGTCCGAGATAGCGACGACATCTTTGATCGCAAAACCAAGCTTGGTCAGAAATTCCTGCTGCAAAGATGGGGACGTTCATTGCATGTCACAGCGGAACATCTGTTGGCATCAGGCAGCGGCGTCAACGGCAGCGGCAGCGTATTCAGCAAGCGCATAACGGTCTGACTCGGTTGTGATTCATTTCAGCGAAACGCACTTTGATTCTCTCTCACGAATGAGGGAGATGGGTACGCCCCTTTAATTGAGTTCGCTCTCCATCTCTTCCTATCAGCTTCTATTCGACAGCAGTTCTGGAAGTATTGCTTGAGAGGGGTTGAGCCGATGGATGCTGGGGGAGTCTCAAGGTTGAATTTCGCCCAACGAGGAATCGTGATGACAGCAAAGGGAAACGGCCCAACGACGAGAGAAAACCAGAAAACAAGAAAAAAAAATGAGTCGCCCAAGATAATTACACTCACATAATCCCTTTGTGCTGTTGTTGAAACCTTTCTATCCTGCCCGCCATGCCCGCCTGTAATTTTTTCCCCGCGTTATGCTAAGTTAAATTGCCTCAACGCCCATTTGCTTGGAAAAAGGAAAGAAAGGGGCAACCGCTCTGGTTCTGCCCTGCTCTTGAGATGGAAAAGACCCGGTGGTTGCTCGCATCTACCTAGGTTGATGCGTAGCGAGATTGTCTCTCCTTTACTTGCCGGGGTAGGTCTTCTTAGGAAAGGGGTATCTGAAGATTGGAACGGATGGTTAGTGACCGTTTCCTGAGAGGATGTATGAAGTGTTGAGATGGTACAGAGGCTGAGCGAATAGCCTGTAAGGAGAATCACCCCATAGTCGCTCTAGCTTGCAAATACCAATCTATCTTGGCGAAAACCGTATTGAAAAAAGGGGGCATGAAGTAAAGTGTGAAAAAGAACAAAAGAGCACTTACGAAGGACCAAGCTCCCTGATACTAAGTGAGGCCAGCCACTGGCCCATGTCGACACACTCGGCCAGCGGGCGCCCCTCGACGATGCCCGCGCAGAAGCCGCCGGCAAAGGCGTCGCCCGCGCCGTTGGTGTCGTTAATCTCCTCCTTGGAGATCTCGTGCACGGGGAACTCGCGCACCTCGTCCTCGCCCTGGACGGCCACGATGGTGGGCTCGGTGCCCTGCGTGATAACGGCGACACGCTTGCGCTGCGTGTTGGCCTTGGGCAGGTTCGCGAGCGCCTTGGCGATCTCCTTGACGTCCTTGGTCCCCAAACCGTGCGAGTCCGCGTACGCCTCGGCCTCGCCCTCGTTGCCGATCACGTAGTCCCAGTACGGCGCCGACGCGTCCAGGGGCTCCTTGAAGAACTGGCAGATGAAGGGTGCTGAAAGGGAGAGGATGAAGGGCCGGTTCTTGGACGCGGCTTGCTTGGCTAGTTCCATGATGGCCGGAGGGCAGACTGCAAGAGGTAGGTTAGCTTTGATAACGGACGATTTGGGGGGATTGGGGGACAGGGGGCAAAGGGAAGGAAGGAAGGACTCGTACCGGTAAAGTGGTAGCCCCCGACATAGTAGGCCTCGGCGTTCTCCACGAGCGCCCAGATATCGGGCCGCTTCAGGTGTTCGAGATCGTAGTGGTTGGCGGCACCCAGGTCGGTGACCATGCTCCGGTTGTGGCCCGTGATGACAACGCCGCAGCGGCCTGTGGGGATCTTGGGGTCGACGCGGTACTCGACGCGCAGGCCGGCCTGCTTGCAGGCGTCGCGCAGAATGGCGGCGTACTTGTCGTCGCCGGCGCCGCCGAGGTAGACGACGCTGTTGGGCGGCAGCATGTACTGCGCGCCGCGGGCCGTGTTCTGGGCGGCGCCGCCGGCAATCAGCTTGGCATCGTAGTTATTCAGGAGGTCCTCGTAGATGTCCAGGTGTTTTGGCTCGGCCAGGATGGCATCGTTCGCCTTGAGACCGTACTTTTGCAGCAGGGCCTCATTGCCGAACCCCTGAATGTCTGAGGGTCATTGTTAGTCTGAACAATCCGAGATCCGACGCTTTGCAGAGAGGAAGAGGGGCAGCGCAAGATGAATATTGTGCACAATTGAGCACTCAATGGAGATCAGCATCCCATATACTTACCGAGGAGAGGGTTCTCCAGACAGAGCAGTCTGTACTCCTTTGTGGACGCCATTTTCCTGAACTGACGAGAGTGGTGTGTTGAGAAAGCGCGGAAAGAATTGGAGCCCCTCTTGCCGATAGAAACTGAGCGAGCTGCGCAGAGGCGGGGCAGAAAGATGGTGGGGTTGAATCGAGTTACCACCGCCATCGGAGAATTCCCGATTAGAGAAAAGAGAACATCGGCTTGCTCAGATCATAGGACAAGGGCTTGGCAAGGTACTGCGGCCAAGTCAAATGCAACATATCGAATGCTAGAGAATGTCTATCAGAGAGGTCAATGTAGGTTGCACTTTGGTCCCTGATGAATCTCATATTTTCTGAGAACAGCCTTGGAGAGCAAAGCTAAGCATCCCGCCTTCACGATTGACGTCAGGACTTGGCGAAATGCTCGCTCATTCAGTCAATCTATCACCCTGACCCCTAGCTCACTTTCAGTAGGCCTGGTCACGGCTCGTTGAAGCGGTCTAGGTAGCTTTTCTTCCCCGAGGCAAGGGAAGCGAGTTCCCTGTATTCTCAGTAGGGCCTCTCTGACTGCATCGACGTTTTGGGTTTCCCTGCGACTCCGGATGGATTTGGAGTACATTGCCGTGAAAACAAGCCTCGTCCCTACCGCGCGCTTGGGAATCCTTTAATTCATTCACGGCCATGATTGCTTGCAGAAAGAACAAGTTTTCCGTCCGCCTCAGCAGTCCCGTAACCACAAAGCAGTAAATGACCAATGCAATCCCATGAACCCCTTGCCCAGATGAAGAACACATGAAAGCCTTACTCCTTCGTCTTCTGGGTACCCCGCAGCAGACCCGTTCTCCTCGCAGCAATAAGACCCGCCTTCTGACCCTGGGCAGCGTACCTCGAGATTGTCGACGCCTTACCAATGTGTTGATGGTTACCCTGCACAACCGTGTCAGATATACAGCCACCTCCCAGTACTCCCCGGGGCTTCCAGCACTTACACCACCGTGAGGATGGTCCACGGGGTTCATGGCAACACCACGAGTCTTGGGCCAGCGGTTCCGCTTGACAGCGAACTTATGCTTGGCGCGAGAGGCCTCTATAAATACTCGTCAGAACCGCTATCCAGCATCCAGCCATTCGTTTTCCAGCCGCGCGGGAACGTACTCAGGAGGGGCTTGTCTGTTCTACCGCCACCAGCAACAATACCAATCATGCCGCGGGCGCTGCTGCTGACGACCTTCTTGGCGCCTGAAGGGAGCTTGATGCGGGTCTTGCCCTCGTCGGGGTTGTGGCCGACAACGGTGACGTAGTTGCCGGAGGTGCGGCCAAGAGCACCGCGGTCACCAGCCTTCTCCTCGACGTTTGAAACGACGGTACCTTCGGGGACGGAGGCCAGGGGAAGAACGTTGCCGACGGTCAGGGCGGCCTTCTTGCCGGCGTAGATGAATTGGCCGGTGTACATGCCCTCATTGGCAATGAAAGTCTCGGTGACCTTCTTGAACTTGTAGGGCGAGTTGAAAACGACACGGGCGAGGGGAGCACCGCGGCCGGGATCGTGGATGATTTCCTTCACAATACCCCGGATGTAGCCATGGCGCTCGGCATAGTCGAGGGTGCGGAACTTCGCTGGGGCCTTCCGCAGGCGGGTGTTGGCAGTGAAGATGCTGCCACGGCCCTTACGCTGGTTGCGGATCTGGATGCAAAAAACGCAGTGGTTAGCACCATCATATTCCCATTGTACTTGTACGATTTCGCGAATTGGTTCTTTCCATCAGGCGCCCGCCGTAATCGATGGTTCGGTGCCGAGTCGGGTCGACGAATTCGAAAAATGCGGGAATGAGGTTTACTTACGACGCGACCCATGTTGCCCTTCCTACCTTGAAAACGTAGAGGCGAGGGACTGGGCTGAATCGGTGGTTGAGAGAGGTTGAGACTGCGACACAAGAAAGCTCCAAATGGTGAAAGCGATAATTTTCCAAATTTCTGTGTGGATGCAGCCACTCTTGGCTGTGTGGCTTGTTGAGTGCCCTAACGCGGGGAACCGATGTGGCGCTAACGGAGCCGAACGAACTTCAAGGTGGACCCGTCGACTGCTGACGTAAGGCGGCTGTTCGGTGCTTCCCAGGATTCGAACCACGTCAACGTGACCTGAGCGATCACTCTGGAAAGAAAGATTGTTCTGGAAGAGCGTATTTGTCTGCTTCTAATTTTTGCAGCACGCTCAATTCCCATGATCAAACCTCAAAGTACGAGTACAATTATTTGATTCTGTCCCGATCGATCTCACCGTGACGCTAGGGGCGCACAGTGTGGCAGCTGGTCTTAGCCTCATACGCACAGTACGCGAATTCTGCCATCAGGCCGAAAGCAGCAAGTGCCGACCGTGTTCCCTCAACCTCGTGACTCCTCCCCTCGCAACCTCTGGAATGGCGCCGTCCAGGACTCACGATGATACCAATCGACACTAAGCTGGTTATGCAGAGCAGGCACGATGTATGATTTACTATGATCTCGCATTGCTATCTGTCTTGATCTAACCGTATGCTAACGATAAGTAGGTCCTAAATCGGCTCTCTGTTGATGAGCAGAGTGTTCCAGCTGGTTCAGATGCTTCATTGAGATAAGGGAGTTTTCATGCGTTTGGGTCGATGTGGCTGTTATTCCGAAGTGCGGAACCGGTCGCAATGACAACCCAAGATCGCGCTCCAAATCTCATCAATCGATTGGGAGGCGGGCCACTCCCAACCGGGGAACAGGCTTCAAACCGTCAATCGCATTGCCGGTTTCCGCAGACACCGCCAGGTCAAGTGCAAGTGCACCTGTGCCACGAGCAAATTGGGCACTGGTACGACTTTCGCGCAGTTATCGCATCCCAGGGGCCATAGGACCACTGTTTGGGCGGTTGCAGTTTTAAACCCGCGGACCGAAAGGACAAGCGTCGTTTCGTTGTGTCGCTCATGATTGAATTGATGGGTTGGGAAATCTGAGAGTGGCTATATGAAACTGCTGAGTTTTGGCAGTGTAGATGATGCGGCTGCCGTGCTCCTTCTGTGGGCGGTAACCCTCGCAATGCTAGGTGATGGGTATGGCCGTCTCGCGGTAAAAACCACCGAAACGCCCGGTGAGGCGACATCACCGCCTGGATGGAGAGAGTCTTGGTTTTTGACGCCTAAAACACCCAGGTGTTGGGGGTGGATACAGGAAACCGCCAGTTTCGACCTCGGGAGGGAACGCTTGGGCGAAGCTGACCGCCTCGCAGCATTGGAGTCCCGCTCCACATCACCGACGGTGTCAACACCAAAGGGTGGGCATCACCCTGTCAACCTTGAACCAGTCCAACAGACCTATCCGGGCTGATGAATGGTCAAGAATGCAGTGGGCTAGCCGTCCTCCTCTGGCTTGGCGGCAGAAGGCATGTTATGGCTATTTGCATGGAACCAGTGTTTGCCGTTGCGAACTTGCTCTCTGGGGTGTGGTTGTGGGAGCGTTGGGAAGAAGGGGAACGGGTGGCGAAGATTGGTGGTGATGGAATCCAAGTTGGCACTGGAGCTGGGAAGGAGCAACAAGAGGGCGGACGAGCCTGTTGACGCCAGCATAGGCAGCCTTGTGGACGGGAAGTACGATTACAACATACCATTGCCCAAGTTACTTTCGGTGATTGGACCTATCATGTACCTCGAGCTTTCCGACCGGTAGGTGGGAGGGTCCCTGGCCATTGTCGGCCGGGTACGTAATTTCTTAGAGCCGATCCATCTTCCTCCCAAGTGCTCTTCCCGTCACTCCTCCACTTCGCGCGTGCCGTGCCTCAACCTTATCAAACGGCCATCAACCATCGCCCGTGTCAACGACATTCAAAATGGCCGATGACGATTCATCTGAGTTGTCATCGATTTCCTCTCTATCGGACCCCCCTTCTGAAGATGATTCCGACATCCAATTGGAGAAGAAACACGGCATCCTGAAATTCTTCCACAAGGTCGACCGAAACCCAGCCTTGGAGCCCGAGGAAAAGACGCCCCCCCGACCCAAGAGGGAACCCTCGCCGCCTCATGAATATGTGTTAGCTGATAACCCAGACATTGCTGTACGTAAAGACGCCGCCATTCGCGTATTTTCCATGCTGCAACGCGAAAGATCGCGACTGCATCCCGGCTACGTGCAAAGCTAACTTTGACCTTTGCAGTTCATTGTCATGTTCCGTGCCCGCTTCACCGAAGCGTTTCCCAAAAGTTTAGCAAATTTCGGGCCCCAAGAGCTGGAGCGCGATGTTGTTGAGGCGGTTCCAGGCGAGCGCGTCGAGCATTTTCTGTGCGCCTTGCTGGGCCTGCTCCTGAACCGCAAGCAAGATGTCAAGTACGTTGAAAACCTCGGTCAAGGGCAAACAGGTGCTGGAAGACTCGAGTTACTGATCGCGCTCTATCTCCAGGCCCGGCCATTACAATCGTGCGCTCGAAGAAGCCGTTCAGACACACAAGGGGCAGTGGGCGAAGGACTGGGAAAGCCAAAATCCCCTCTCCGGCTCCGCCACGTTTGCCTCCATGACGCCAGTGCAACGGGTATGTGCAAAATACACGGGCTGGGCACATTGTGGGCATGCATCTGTCCTGAGCCTATCGCTGACTTAGCGCGCCTAGCTCACTCTACTGCGCACCCTGGTGCAGTGGACGCTTTCATCATCGGACGCAGTTAGGACGATAATCTCTCAGCAATACAAGAACCGGCACGAGGACGACCTGAACATCCCCTTGAGTGTGCAGCCCTGGGGCAGCGACGGCGATAAACGGCGGTACTACCTTATCGAGGGAAACGACGATACCTCGTTCCGCGTATACAGAGAGAGCAACCCTGCTGGCCTACAGCGAACTTGGTGGAGTGTTGCCGGCAGCATCGATGAGCTCAAAACCCTTGCCGAGAAGCTGGAATCCCAGGATGGTGGTCCCAAGGCAAAAGCGTTTGCCAAAAGAATCCTCAACAGCATACCCCGATTTGAGGCCACAGAGGAGAAGCGGCGCCGGAGGGAGTACCGCCAGATGCGCAAGGAACAGTTCAGGCGCCCGGAACCGGGCTTCTCGCTCTACGAGGGCCGTACGAGAGGAAAGCGCATGAAGTATACATATTCCGACGACGAGGCCGACTTCTATTCGGATTCAACCACCCGCCGTTCAACGCGCAATACCAGGAACCACACACCGGCAGAGCCGAGCGGCCCTGTCACCACAGCCAGCGGTCGGCAAGTTAGAGCGCCGAACCGACTGAACGCGGAGAGCGCCAGCACCGGCCCCCCCAGTGCCTCGACGAGCGTCCAAGGAGATGCTTATGCCGATGATTCGGAGATGAAAGATGAAGCCGTTGGCCGTACAGGGCGCCCGCGCCGATCTGCCGCTGTCAACCACGGCACGAACGGCTGGACATCGAGGAAGCGGAAGAGCGAGGAGTACGAGTCGGATGAGTCCGAAGAGGGATCTGAGCCCGACTTCGGGGATGACGAGGAAGACGAGCACATCCCAGATGAGGAGGATGAGGATGAGGAAGAGTTTGAGGATGAGGAACTGCTGGACGAAGACCTCGAGGACAGGCCAAGTTCCAGCTACATGTTCAAATTCCCCGTTCGAGTCGCCTTTGATGAGAATAACAAAGTGCGACAAATCCCTGGCCCTCCGGTTGTTGTAGATCAGCAACACAAGCGGCCGAGGGCCGCGCACAGAAATGTCGTTATTAGCGACGAGTCCGAGTCTAGCGAAGCTACTGAAGCCGGCCAGGAGACACCGTTCGAGCCCGAGCCTGAGCCGCCAGCGGCCGAGGTCATCGCGGTTGTTACGAAACAGGCGACGGCGCCTGAGGCGGTCGAGAGGCCGGGAGCCGAGGTCGACAAGCTTACGGAGCCTGAAGTCAAACAGGCTGAAGCCAAGCAGCCCATGGCTGACGCTGGCCTGGCGGCCAAGTCTCCCCCAACTCCAACAAGCGAACCCCCGACATCTCTGGCTTTTAGAGGGAGCCCGGAGATGCCACAGCCCGTCCGCCAGCTAGCTAATGCTAGCTCCCCGGAGTAGGGGATGCGGAGAGCTGCAAAGGTTCCATGCGAGCGTTGCTGAACATTGCTTTTGAGATGGAGTTAAGGGCATCTTTAAGACATGGAGGTTCCTCGATCCTCAGCTAGGAAGGCACTTTTCGGGCGGGCTATCTGTGTTTGCAAGCAGGGTAGCTTCTAAACCATGGCAAGATGGAAAAGCGAGCTTGATCGATTTGCGGCTAGACTCTTCGTTCTGAATGACGAATGAATTTATCTTACTGGGCAAAATACATATGTGACAAGCGTCCATGATCATCCACGGCTTGGCCCCAATTGCTATTGCACCCGCCTCGAAGAACTCCCCTTCTCAGGTGGGATCGGCCAGTTGTTGACCCCCCACCACCAACGGCGCAACCGCGCCCCTAACGATGACCCGCTCAAACGAGCGTTCCGGTTCCAGTATTGCCAGCCGCAGATAGCTAGGTTGTAGAGAATGCCCTGCACGAAGGGCATCATGACCTATTGAAAGCCTCCATGTCAGCTTTCAGGCTTCCGGTCCGTCCAGTGCAAGGTAGATTAGCTTGCAAAACAATAGCCCTCAAGACTGAAGATGTTGCGTGTCTTTGACTGCCAGGAAAGTCTTACCTGGTCCCTCACCGTGATCCACCCAACCTTCCACCACGTGTCGGCGTTGCGTATGCTGTGCAGGTAGCTCTGTTCGAAGCGGAGGTCGGGCATGGGCGGGAGGTGGTGTTGCCCGGGTTGACGCCGCCCGCCGCGCCGTTGATGCGGCCTGATGCGCGAGCGCTGGTACAGGTCCTCGTCCTCCTCCTCTTCTTCTAACTCGGTCCCTTCCCCTTCCCCTTCCCCTTCCCCTTCATCTTCGTCAATTCCGCCATCGTAGGTGTGATGATGGTGATGGTGATGGGCAACGGGCTCTAGGTGGACGGGCTCCCTCTTGTCGGCCGCTGTCGACGGGTTCAGGTCGTGTTGGGGAGAAGGGTCGCGCTGGAGATGGGCTGTTTGGATGGTTTCGGCTACTTGGAGAGGTATCGAGGAGGACATGGTGCGCGATTGGAGAAATTACGGTCGGTATGGTGTCGTGCTGTGGGCTGGTAAATTGGTTGTTGTCCGAGCAGCAAATGGAGGTTCAGTCGTCGTTTACAGAAGCTTAGCCCCATAAGTTTCAATGGTGCAGTATCGTGACGGTGTGGGCACCTGACATTCCGATCAAGCCAGCATTGGTTGCCAGTTTCAACACCGGGGAGCCCGTTCTGAGTCAACTGAGGTTCTCTGGAGGTATTGGCTGTCGTTGGGCAAGCCTCAATCAGCCATGGAATTCCCAGGGATATCAGTGCAGCCCATGAAGACTGTGTATGTACAATCAG